GTGGGTTCGAGCCCCGCCGTGGCCATGCGTGTTGTGCCCTTGAGTAAGGCACTTTACCTCAATTACTCCTCTCAACCCAGGTGTTAAATGGGTACCGGCCTTGTTCAATGCTGGGAAGGTAACAGACTCGCTGTGGAGGAGGTGTGGCGATCCCCCCACAGCAGCATTTCATGGACTCGAGTCTGGCCCAATCGCTAACGAAAGAGAGATGGGCACTCTGCCCCTGTGAATACAGATTCGTCCCCTTTACCTTTACTTTACTTTAAAGCCCTTTGCCATTACAAAATGCTTACTGCAAAATACTCCAGCACACCATATTTATCGCCGCACGCAAAGTTTAACTGGCACACTCTTCGTGCAACTTTTTACCGCCGCAGCACGCAGTTGCAGCTGGCAATATCCGAATATTCGGTCAAACACAGCTTCGAGTAATCGAATACTGAATCATTCGAAAAAGGAAAGCCCTAAGTGTTGTTGCAGTGGGCAGAGCTTCAACAGATCAGTCCATTGACATCCAAACTTTTCCTTGTTTGCATAACCCTCAACCATGACCGCCTAGTACAAATGGTTTTAACTGATTGTACTGGAATATTTTTTTTTCTGACTGAACGTTCAGAAAGACTAAAACCCCAATGCACTTTTCTAATCAACATCAACACACCAACACTGCGGCATTTAAAAAAAAAAACTTCGAAAATTTCAGACACACTATATCAAAACTCAGATATTAATTTTATGGGTAAGTGAACCCCACATTCTCTTTCTCTCTGTCTTTGGTTTTAAAGTTACAACGAAATGACACTTCATCCCGGAAAAAAAACGTGACAAAAACAACAGATTTCATGTTGGAAGAGAAAATGAGCTCTATCTTATCACATTATCCCCAGTCCAAAAGTGTGAAATCCTCTCAGTGGATTTTTTTCGTAATTCTCCTCATTACCCTAGTATGTTTATCTCATTAAACCAACACTAACATCACAAATATGTAAATACAATTTAATCTGCATGAAGGGTGGGCATTTAGACATCCTCGTCTGGCCAACACTTTCCGCGCCGCTGGCCCCGGGGCCGCGTTTATCCAACGCCTCGCGGCTTAACAGCATTAGCTCCCAAATGGTTCTGTAAGCAGGATCAGAAAGGGCTGTGATTTGGTCGGGTCTGACTCCTGGCGGTCTCGTTACAACCACGCTTCATTAGGCCGCGCCGCTGCGACATTTCCCCTGTCAAAGTCAGCCGGGAAAACGCGACCGGCCGCGGGTAATTATACAGCCCGACTATGGTTTTTATAAGTGTAAATCTACAAAAGTAAAAAAACAAAAGTAAGCTAGCAAGGGAGGTGGTGGAATCACACCAAAGCGGGGTGATCGTAATTGAAAAGCGGTGCCGTGGGCATCGCTGACGCGAGATGCAGTTAGCGCCCCGGCTCGGAGTGACGGTGTGGTTTTGAAAAACGATTTATTTAAAAAGGGTTACAATGCTAACAACTGTCGCTGTTTACAAGCGTGGCTAACGCGCCGTGTGCAATCACGCATACTGTCTGGAACATGTTTTTCGTTCATCAGTGCATTGTAAATTCCACACTTCGCAACATGATTAAGAATTTGTCACCTCATTACGAATCTGACATTTTTTCTTTTAAGCCAGTAAAAGAAAACATTCTCATGAATGTTATAGAAAAAAACAATAACATATACCAAAGTATTTAATACTGGATATTTGGCTGGTTTCTGGAAAAAGCAGACACGAACTGAAATCCAACCTTTTTTGTACAGTTCTCTCAAACAGAGTAGAATCTCCTTCTCAGTAAGCCTGACCCTCCTCAATCCTCCAAAATCCTCCAGGCGGTTTGCAGGATTTTGGAGGATCGAGGCTGAATGGCAAAAAGTGTCGGTTAATTTTGGAGGATGCTTTGTGCCAAGTTCGTAGGCTGACTGTACCCAGCATTGTTTATGTACAGGCATGCATAATTGAGACCGGCATTATGCTCGATATCCTCCGCACTGCTTCTGAATGTCATCGGCACTGCCTCAACCCATTACAGTGATTGTTGGAGGATTCGGAAGGATGGAGGCAATGGACACCCAACCACTGAACAAATTCAAGAAATAACCGATGATTTTCGAGGATAGAGACTGAATCCAAATTTTACATGGTAGCAGTTGGAGGACTTTACAGGATTGAGGATGGTTTCTAGCCAAAAAGGGCCTAGAGGGTTAGGGTTAATGATATCGTCTTGGTTTTTGGAAGACAATTTTGTCACAACTGACTCCAAATTGAAAACTAAGGAGGTCTTTCCAAACATTTTAACAGCTCTCTTCAGAAAACACAACGGAACTAACCAACAACCTTCCCTGCACGTCCCCAAAATAGAATATACATCCAAATTCAATAATATTTAAAATCTACACCTTACAATTTCCTATCACAGCCATCAAAGTCTTTCCTTGTACAAATGCAAAAAAAACAACCGCGCATCAGTTTAACTCTTAAGCAGAGGTAAATGCACCCCTCTCCCCACCCATCATTGGTCATTTCCTCTCAGTGCAACCTCGTTGAATAGCTTGCTCCGTCCACATCAATAGTCCATGAACAGCTAGGACCAACCAAGCGACTAAAATCTCAGGGGAGAAAAAAGGGTACTAGCCCATCCTCAGTTCCGCCTGACACTCCCTTTTGACTTGCCCTCAGGCAGTGATTTACCTTGTAACCATTCAAGCACAGTTTGCACCGCTGAGCTGATCAACTGAAAACAACACAAAACTAAGGAAACCGAAAAAGTACATTGACTCCAAAGTCCTTTCGGGCTGACGGAACAAGCAAGTGCAAGGACTGTGAGTGAACTTAGGAAAGCTAATAAAAAAAAACACATGCAGACACGTCAAGACAGACAGAAAACAACCCTGGAATAAATGGATTATGTTTTTTTTTAATTTTTTGTCGAGTGGCTTCTGACGTGCATCGTGATCTTGACACTGGCATTTTTGTCTCCCCATCAATGGCAGATTACGTCATCAGCATGATTGGCATACAAATATTGAGTGGCTCGGAGTGGAATGGAAAATATTATCCGAGGGAAAATCTTGACTTTTTTATTTCAAAAGGCGAAGTCCAGTGAAATGGAAAGGTCCACATTTTACCGAGCGATAATATTCCTTCCATTTCACAATTTTAAGCCAATCTATATTTGTTTTATAAAATAACTGACATATAGATCCTTGTCATTTGATTTACAGTTAAAATGAACTTCTATTTCAATACAAATTGATGGGAAATGTATTTCTCTCTTCCAAACCACCCCTTCACGAAATGTTTGAACCAAACTCTGTAGCCACTGGCTCTTGGGAACAATACGCGTTACGCGCAACGTTCAACGCGCACACCAGCATGCATTTGCACATGGAACAAGGATGATCCTAACTGTTGAATAGTAAATCCCATTCACGATGGGCGAATGGGACTTTTTGAGCCCCGGCATGAATGAGAGCAATAATGAATGTCACGTAATGTGAGTTCCACCAATCACATGACAAGGATCTGTAAGTCAGTTATATAATTGAAAACATGCCACAGTGCACGTACAACTTCTGGGGATTCTACTGAATAAGTTAATAAGTTTCAATTCAAATAAAAAAGGGTCTGACATTTCGAGCCTAGCAGGATATTTCTCAAAAGGCAAAATTCAGAAGATATTAACCACAAACATTCGCCAAGGTTGACAAACTGACTAACAATACATCCATGAATTCAGCGGCCATCTTTAAGGGTTTTATATTTTGTTTAATTTTAATTAAATAACAATAAATGTATAATACGTCTACTCATGCTGATCCCTGTGGAACAAGCATTTGACTGCTAAGCAAAGTCTTATTTCTCGATTACCTGCACAGCACAGTGACACATTTTTCGTGAATGTCTTTTATAAAATAAACATAAAAAAGTAATCATGAACTATTTAAATCAAGTTCAAGAATTTAGTATTTTCATATTTTGTTATTACTCACTAGCAAGCACCATACTCTCATCTGTTTGTCACTATGAATGAACTTTTTACGTACATGTACCAGAAAAGTTTCACATCACAAATAGTTATATTTTATGGTAGCATGAGAAAACTTTTAATAGGATGCAACTTTCCGTGGATGCTACACAAAGTCAAGTCCCGTAACCAGGGGTTTTTTTGCCCGTTGCAAAATAGACTTTTTGTCTCGTTTATTCAGAGACAGACCATCCGTGCTAAAAAGAAAAGGGGGGGGGATAGACACCACCTTATCGGGGGCGCTGTTCAAAGAAGACAATCATGGACACTATTGGACAATATGTGGTGCTCTCTTCATCCCTGCAAATTTGCCGATGGACACACACTTTTTCCAACAGGATGATTTCCCCATCCCAATTACCAATTTCGCTTTTAAAATAAGTAGCCCGTTGCAATCTGTCACTCTGCACCTCCCCTACCCCCCGATATGCCATTGGCTGAAATATCTTTTTCTCATTGTTTTGTCTTAATTTCCGCTTTTGAAATATACTTCTGAATTCACCTCAGAACCTACCGTGGAATTTTAAGAAATTTTATGAAATGTTCAAAGTGGTACAGACAACACAGAGAAACAGAGCAATGTTAATAATTGCCCCACACCTTCAAAACAAAAAGCATGCCAAAAAATCAACTAAATTTACAACTCATCCAAACACCACTGGATTACATACTTCTGATTATGAAATACAAAACAAATACCTAGAAGTGTATGCACTGGTTTCTGTACTCACCTAATTCAGGCATTTTATATATTATAAACATTTTTTTTCCATTTTTCTGATAACATTTCCATATTCATTATTCCATATTAATTTTTGTTTTCTCCACATGAATTCTCAATTTGTGCTCTTCATTTAAACAGGAAAAAAATCCATTAAAGGATATCGCGTTTTTTGGTTTTGGTTTTGGGTCTCTTTTTTTAGGGGGGAGGGGAGGGGTTAATAAAACTGAAACATTGACTTACCACACTGAGCGGGCTTGGGGCTCCTGAATCCATACTCAGTATAGAGTCCTCACCATCCACTGACACATTGGCACTGTCCGGAGCCAGTGATCCCAGAGGAATACCGGGCAACGTGTCCGACTTTATCTTCTTGACCGCTTCTTTCTTCTGTTGTAAAAAAAAAAAAAAAATATTGGAGATTGTTAAAGTTGTTTGCGTCATAAGCAAATAGCCAGATTATGATATATGATGTAGAAATATTGAAGCAAAAGTAACTATTTTTTAAGTATTGCACATGTGTCATGCTTGTTACAAAGTGGAAAATGTATCAATTAAAATCTGTCCAAAAACTGTCAACATGTTATGTCATTTACTCATTTTTATCTACTATAAATTCAATTCAACGTGTTTTCCTGTAGGAGTTAATATTAAACAGCAATACCGGTACATACAATTCCATAAAATAGATATTCTATGATCCGAAATCAGAGTATTTTACATAAATTCAATTTTTTTGGTGGGGGGGGGGGAGGGGGGTTAACATTTAACTAGTTCTTGCTGTTGACGTGTATACATGCAAAGGTTTTGCAGTATTCCGAAACGGATGACGGATAAATACGCAATAAGCGACGCTGGAAATATCGGTCACTGACCCGCTCCTAGCATCAAGGTTCGTGAAAAACAATCCTGTGCCTGGGTTCGGTCAAATCCCGGCGCGAACTGGTTAATAACAACATCGTATGCTTACAATCTTAATGACATGTCTGGTATAAGTACAACCTCTACGTAATTTGCATCACATGTTATTGAATTAAAATTCTGTATAACAATTACAATTCAAAAGATGGAGTCAAACAGTTGCAGGTTTTTCTGTCTAATTTAAAATGGCTATTCTGATATGACGATGTTTACTGTCAATTAGTTCACCACGGAATGGGGGAGAGGGATGGGGAGGGAGGAGGGATGGGAAGGGGATGGGAAGGGGATGGGAATGAGTGGGGAAGGAGCAGGGGAGGATGGGGGGAGGGGAAACGCATTTAACTTCTCACCATTTCCGCATATTTCTCCCTCTTGCGCTTGCGGTCTTTGGCGCGGTTCCGTTCCTCAGTCAGCTTCTTTTCACGCTGTTGCTCATGAACTGTTGATTGTTGACAAACCAAAAAGAAAAAATAGAGAAAAAGGACAGTAAATGAAAGTTATGAAAAAGAACAATATCCTTGGGAGTTGGTGAAATGTTCTGATTGGCCTCAGAACATCTGACTTAAGGTACAAAGGATCATTTGCTTTTTGTGCGTTTTTTTCTGTTTGAAGCAACAAACTTGCCTCTAAGTTTAAGTAGAGTGCGTAACAACTAATCTGATGAAGTTTTAGCTAAAGTTGATACTATTCATTTTGTGAAAACAGAGTAAAAGTGTGCACAACTTTTTGGGTCTCGTGAACGCCCTGCGGTCACCATACTTTGAAACCACCTTCAATGTTAGTTTTCTTCCGAATGATACCATTTCAGGCGGAATAATTTCACAGGGTATTTGATACCAGTCCTATCTTCACTTTAAGCAAGGTTTCTATCATTAAATCGGTAGGTACTTTTAAGGGTAATTGCAAAGGATCCAACGTGCCTTTAATTGAAAGAAACTTTAACTGCTTGGCATCTGAACATCAAACCTAACTCAGAGGAATTTAAACCCTACTTTAGTTGTCATTACCCTTGTAAACTTTAAAGATGGGACTGGACATACATGTAAACGTTCATGTAATAGAGCTCATGATTATTCATCAATTTTTAAATAAACCCCCAAATCTCATGGAAACTAGGCCATTTAGCAAACAATCTGTGGACTTTTTTAGGGGGAGCTCATTCTAATTTTGACGGAATTCTGCTTCACATTTTATATTTCCTTTTACGGTTATGACAGCCAGCAGGAACTAAACCAAGCCATAAATCTCCAACTCCAAAAGGAATTTGTCTTTGTCCCTGTAATTTACATCCAACTTGGCCACAACTTCTCAAGCAAAAACTGTGTCAGCATGCAACATTCGTGAGAAAGAATCTAACAGGGATTTAATATATAAAAAAAAAATGTTCCAGATCACTCAAGATACGAAATGGGCCACAAGTGGTGAGCTGACAACACAAATGTTAAGGGACTACTGAATATGAAGTACGGCACCCAAACATGATAGGAAGTACTCGTAAATGCAACATCTGTTGGAGACTGTCTCTAAAAACCTGACATTATCCAATACAAAGCACAGCAGCAGTGATGGATGGTAACAAGTGGTCAAGCTACATTTCCAACAATGATTCTTTTTAATCAAACAAGACTTTGACAATGCCAAGTTCAACGATTGAGCCTCATAAAACTCTCCATTAGGCCAAAAACAAAAAGTCTCCGGTTTCTGGTATGCGCGCGCGTCGCCGTAGCCATGCGCGTCGGCAAAATGAAAAAGTTTTTTTTTTCAATAAAAGATGATGTCTCCAAACCGCCAAACTCACTGGTCTGACTGGAATCCTGCTGCTGCACAATTTTAACGTGTTTTTAGATGTGGTTATGATCGAGATTAAGCTTTATGTGGCCTCTCTGGATTCCCATATATTTGCACTAAGTTTAGTCGGGCACCATTTGCAGTTATCAGCCGACATTCGAAGCAAAAAAAAACAGGTAAAAAAAAAAAAAGCCGCATCGCCGCACCACTTTTTGGGCAAGCTCCATACCAGAAACCGGAGACTTTTTTTTTTGGCCTTTGGGTCAGACCACAGTCAGTGCAGGACATGATTAAAAAGTGTCAGATGTTTTGGGCAAATTTATTTGACTGCAATCTTACATTTCTTAATTCAGCAAATGGCTAGCAGTGAGTCCTACTGTATCTGCAAAGCCGTTAGTCATCTAATATTACACTTGGTAATGACAGGAGGTGTCATTGAGAAATCTCATTTTGCACTTCAAATGCATTCACATATCCAGTGCAAAAATTCATTCAGACAAAAATGCTTATCAAAAATGGTAGTAATTTTTTTTTTTTATATCGGACTGTATTTCAGCTGCTGGGTTTGAGATTAAATAAGGGAATAAATAGAGTACCGAAGTGTGACATCAGCTTTCATTGTTCTGGTTCACTCTGGTTCGCGCGCTGATGTCTTCATACATCTTAGTTGTGCGCGTGGAACAGAATACGCAGCGCACTTCGGTACTCTATGTGCTTGGCCAGTTTTAAACAAGCATGTTTAAAACCGGCTAGGAGCCTGGATGCGGATAATGGCCCGAGCCGAATAAATCCCTTTCGGTCAAAAACCAAAACAAGCCGAAATTCACAAATTTCCAACGATTTTGTTCAACAATTTCACTTCATGTTATGTGAAACACCCCTCTGACCATGTCTATGGAATGTGTCTCATGCGCGTAGCGCAAAAAATCTCCTCGTACAGAAATCTGCCCGCGCGGGACGTGGCGCAGAATAGAGCGGTGTTTTACAGGCGGTTTAAAACAACCCACATGACGGGCTCTCGACCAATAGGAATTGGTAAACTGTCTCGGGTATTTATGAATACTCATTTAATATTGTCTCAAGGCACGGTTTTTGCCTGTTCCACAGGGCCAGTCTACAGTCCTCTCATGGACTGACTAACTTACCGACTAAACTGACTGATTGACTGTCACTTGTAACAGACTGGTTGTAGGGTGGTCAAGAGAGCCAGGAAGGATCCTGAGGACTTGGCAAAGGATGTGTGTGGAGCCCGAAGGGAAAAAAATCCTTGGAGGGTCTGTTTTGTTTTTGTCTTTAAACTGGGGGTTTGGGGAAATTCCTTACATTTCCTCTCAATCTCTTCGTCATCCAGCAGGAGGGAGACCACCTCTTTGGGCTTCAGCTGCTCCGGTTTGAACTGACCGCCAGTGATGACCATTCGCTGGATCTGCAGTCAATAAACGAGACAATAAAAATATAATAGAAAAATTTCAACAAAATTCAAAGGGTTTTCTCATATATTCATGCTTGAAGTTATCAAGGGATATTTTAAAGTGATAAAAGAAATTATATACTCAATGTTCGAGTCAAGACAAACGCAAGTATTTATGTTCCAAATTCCGACTAGCATCCTTCAACTTCTTTTTTATACAAGTCAATGATGTTTATTTTGCTTTCATTGGGGGGGGGCAGGGTTTGCTTACTGTTAAAAACTGGTTTCCTTGTGATTTGATATGATTAGAATTGATTTGATAATGTTTCCAAATATCGTGATTATAATAATGAACAATTGTAATTAACACTTTCATCAACAATAGTCCACAGGGATTTACAATATACATGTAAATTGGTACAAATAATCATCTGCAAACTTCACAACACTGAACACCTGAACAAGAAATACATGATGAAGACGGGAAACAACTAACTGAACCTCCATCAAAGAGTGTGCTTGTACGCAGCCAAGCTGCGTTCAGCATCCCCCAAAACCTCAGGCCGTTCCTAGAGTAAATGTTATCCTTGACCGCCTGGCTAAAGCCAGGACACCCCCCCCCCTTTCACCCTGAGGCAAAGTAAGGGGACACTCTACTCAAGAAGATGACCCTCTCTCAAAAAAGGCAAATCGTCCTAGGACAGATCTAAAAATACGGTACCTCACCTGTCAGTTGACGGGTTCAGAGGTTAATTGATTGAAAAACGCCGGCTGTGTAAACAGAGATTCTGGCTGGGATTACCAACACCAATAAAGTATAAAATTTTATGTCCATTTTTTTAAAAGTCAGGTGGTAATTTTGATGGGGGAATTCCAGTTGGGTGAGGTCATTCCTATTTGCTAACAATTTCGGTGACTTTGAACATGCTGCGACATACAAAGAAAGAGCTTCCATTATTTTGTTGTTTTTTTTAATCCTTTTTTAGAGTAAGAAGCCGGTTTCACAATTCAAAACCCACAAATTCCACATTTTTAAAACCTCATTTAGGCAATGAAGTAATGAGTCATTTCTATGATTGCTATCGTAATCATGTTGCTTTAACAACATAACTGACAAAATTTGCTGATATAATACAATTTGTAATTGAGAGAAACAAGATCACCTTCACATAAAGGTTGTTCAAAACAGTTTCTCATTATTAGTGGCACACAAATCCTCAACCGCATTTCTAAAAAAAAATTATAACAGGCTGCTTTATTTTCACTTAAACATCAAGATAAAAATATTGGACAAGATAAAAAATATTGGACCTGTCCCTTCCTAAATCCCCCTAGCTTAGCTTAGGTTCCAATTAAAAAAAATTATTCAAAATCTTGCAAGTGAACTAGATAACTACAATAAAACTAAAACTAAAACCAACAGCTAAAGCCACTAAAAAAGGCAAATGGCTAAGTACCGGTAATATTAAATGTAGTTTTTGTGGGAATGGATAAAGTTGGAATGGATGCACCTTGACCGAGGGGTCATGCCGGTATCCTGAGTAAGTCATAATTGCCTCGGAGGCACGGGCCACTGACACAATAATGGCTAATGTGTTAACATCAAGTTGGCTTAGCGTGACGCTAAGTGCTTCCCATCTTCTCTCATGGTCGAGAAATCGGTAGGGGGCCCCCAACAGCCTTCTCCGTGAACATAACCCGGGCCTGTAAAACACCCCACAAATGGACTCGGTTTGTTTGTTCAGCGGGTCCCGTTTGCAGGTGCTTATAATTGCCGCCTGATAGAATACGTGCCCGGACCCCGAATAGGTATAGCCTCGCCGACTGGCACCAGATGTACCCACACCGGTTCCTTTTATTCTCCGGCTAACCCTGTCGATAATTGTCTTCAGGTATGCACCTGGACAAGCCTCCTGGCAAGGCGGAGAGGGAGGATGGAGGATCGCCTTCAACACAATTCAGGCACTTTCCCACAAAGCTGAAGGTGTCAGGGTCCTGGCAGGGAGTCAGCGGCAGCAGAACCTCTGGATGAAAGGGGTGCCGGTCCCAGGCAGCCTAGATTCTAATTGCATCCAGGTATACAGGTGTGTTTTGTGACAGTGTGTCTTCCAGCTAGGTCAGGCCAAAGCAAGAGCTCGACGAGACCTCCAGCCAAGTTGATGTGCTTTTAATGACCAGGGGTGCAAACTCCCAGTGGGGGGCTCCTGGTAGAGGTGTCAAACGGAACCCACTTCAAAGGGAAGGGTAACTGGATCCTGCCGGGGTCAGTTTGGGTTTCAAAACTCGGTCACGTTTTGGGTTTTTTTTCTTGGGGGGAGGGAAACAAAAAAAATTGGTTTCTGTTTCACAGTGAGCTAAGGTTTTGTTGGTATTTGTACAGCATTTCAAGACAATCACTCACCATGTAATGATATTAAAACAACATTTCTACCGACTGCTCTTTTTTTGGGGGGGACAGTTTTTAAGGGACTGTATCCTCGGGGCATTGATCTAACGGTCAGAGGTTAATTGCTTTAGTTGAGTGTGTAACCAGATAATGGTACCACAGTAAACTTAGCAAGTCAAAACGGACACGAAAATGAAGTCTCAAAGTAAAGGAGAAACATAATATGCAGGGGTGAATGTTAGAATAACTTGTCACCATGTGGTTTGATTTTTTTTGTTGTTATTGGACTCTTGTGAGATTGTATACTAGCTTTTAGTGTATTTGATCAATCAACAACTTAATATTAAACTAATTGCTTGAGTCCAATAACAACTCACATAACAGTTCGACGCAATGTATGAATTTATTTTCTTGACCAAATCTACCAAAGAAAATTGTTTCAGGTTGGTTTATTTGTGTGGGGAGGGGTGTGTAGCAAGCATAGTAGCAAACAATATATGATAAAAACAGTAAAGATATTAAAATTACACAAATCTTTAAAGCAGGATTAACTTCTCCAAAATTAATAGGTGAAATTCTATACATGTGGTTTTAATGCTTAAAGGGGTAATTACCACTAGATTAATTAAGTTTATTTTCAAATTTGATTTTACCAGGCTGTTTCTATCCTTAATACCAAACCAAATAATTGGGGTTTTTTTCATTCTGTATTTTAAGCATCTGTTGAACTTGATCATGCACATAATGGCTTTCATAAATATCTTTTGGATACTAAAATGAAACATACTAATGATGATAATCTTTTTATACACGTATGTAAAAAAGGATATAGTTCTCAAAGGGACCAATGGCCAATGTAAACAAACTCTTCTGCTAAAATCATGAATAGAGGGAGGAGGTACCATATATCAAATGGAACCTTCCCATGAATTTTAGCTGGGTAGCTTCCTAAATCCTCAAAAAATCCACCACTGTGCATGGAATACACGGAAACTACTTTTATAATGGGCACCGAGTTGCATGAAAAGTCATAAAAGGCTACGCTCTACATTTCTCCCACAAAATCACCCCAAGCATTTGCGATGAATTTTAATGATATATATTGGATAATTAATTTTTTCTTTTTGCAAATAAAAAAGTACCGGGTTGAATTGATTTTATCAAAGCTTTGATATATTTATTAAAAACTTGATATTTATTACACACACCAGTTCCCACATTTAGAAACAAACATCGATGCATTAAAAAAAGGGCTCAACTAAAATAAAAATTTAAAAAATGAAAAGCCATTTTGGTTTTATTTATTTTTTTCCCCATACATTCTTGTATCGTATAGAGGCAACCATTTTCCCTATTTTTTGATAACAGGGTGAATTTATATATAATATATCAAATCAATTACTTCAGGAATCTTAATGAAGCAGAACAAGGTTTTTCCAAGTATAGATTTGGAGGCATTAAACTTGTTATTTTTTTTTGCTTTCCGAAATAACAAGAAATATTTCTAGGGAATGCACAGGCAGAAAATTCTTCACTGTTAGTGGCCCTAAAAGGACAGATGTTACGCGACACACTGTCACCATTTTTGTGAAAAGATGGGCCAGTAAAAAATTACATAACATTTTTCTAATAAATTTGACACGCCCATCCCTAAATAAAAACAATGGCGATACATCTACGGTCGAGATAGAAACTGGCAAGAGTTGCAGTCATGTCACTGGAGTCAAATCAAAGTCTGAGTCTCGAGTCACTTGGGTCGAGTCCTACTCTGAGTCACAAGTCACTCATTGGAATTGAATGGGTGTATGCACATCAGTAGTGTCCCAAAGTAGGACGATGATCAGGCATCTATTCTTTACAAGACCATGGTAGTGCAGTACAGGGTGAGTAAAAAAAAACGAAACCCAAATGTCGGGACCATTGTTTTAGTGAAGTTCTGATGTAGCACTTTCAAAATCTAGGATATGAAAGCTCAATTCATAAGCTTTCTTTTAGTACAAGAATCATTCAAATCACTCATGTACCTGTACCTTGTACCACGTTATGGACCTTTAAACACAAGCACCATTTTAAAATTCTGTCCACGGATCACAAAAAAGTAAGTGTTCTTTTAGCAAAACGAAAACAAATCATATAGGGATGTGTGTGAATTGTTTTCATTTTGCTGATAGAATGCACATTGACGATGTTGAGAAAATTCAAAGAAGAGCCTCACATTTAATTGTAGGACAGCAAAGAATGGAAATGGCGTATGACGATAGACTAAGGATACTGAACTGGTGCTCACTTAAATCTCGTAGATATTATTTGTTATTTTCACAAATAAATAATAATAATAATAACTGACTGAAGTCAAGTCTGAGTCACTGAAATTGGATTTGTTTGTTGTTCCCTTAACGTAGCTGGTATTGATACCTGGCACGCGCGCTTTGATAATCGGACATGAGAAATTTCGAGCATTTCTAACTCACCCAATTTCTAACTCACCCAGTGGGGGACATTTTAAATTGTTCATTTTTTCCAGTCAGTTGTTTCGTAAGCGTATGATTCGAGTATATGTTTGCCCTTTTCTTTTCTTTGTATCAATATGGTGTTTTTTGTAAGACAGCAGAACGCTATGCCCCAATCTATAACAAATTAGCTCAATTTGTCTACTGACACTCATTCAAATGGGTCGTGATTTGTCGACCATAATCTTGAAAAACGGACTCTCCATGAGAAACTCTACGTGGCCCACTGCATTGTGAATCACCTGAATTCTGTCTTGGCCCAAGACTAGACTTGTGTCCAAGTCCCAGACTCAAGTAATACAACTCTGGAAGACAGACATGAATTCCTGCTTGTAAGCCTACCTCACTCTTCTCTCTGGCGCGCTGTAGGATCTTCTCCTCAATGGTTCCCTTGCAGATTAGCCGGTACACGGTAACCTGCTTGGTCTGACCCAGCCGGTGGGCCCGGTCCATGGCCTGCTGGTCTACCGTGGGGTTCCAGTCGCTGTCGTAGAAGATGACCGTGTCGGCGGCTGTCAGGTTGATGCCCAGCCCGCCGGCCCGGGTACTCAGCAGGAAAACGAAGATGTCCGACCTGCAAAAAAATTAGACGGAGGTATTTACTGGCAATCGTACTTAATACAACAGCAATGGCGCTTCTTTCAATGATTCATACTCCAACTTGTCAGGAAAGTAAAAATACCTATATCCTAGACGCACATTCAGCGTTTTCCAATTAGGGGTTTGGAAGGTCGGGCCACCCTTTTTTATCGGCAAAAGAGTCAAGAAAATGGAAGAATCAATCTGACCTCTTGGAAAATCTGCCATTTTGGGAGGAGATAAAAAAAGAAAAGCGTCTGCCGCCTCATTTTTTCAAAAAGCCTGGACGAGAAACTATTTTTTTTGTAAACGGCCTAAGTATTAGATATACCAACTAATATTGTGTAAACATCACTGTTATTCTATTGTACTTTTTTTCATTCTTACTATCTGCTTTATTAATATTTTTGTGTGTAAGTTGAAGTACCTGCTTTGGAAGTCAGCCACCATGTCTCTACGGTCTGAGATTTTGGACGAACCATCCAGTCTCATGTAAGTGTGCTTCCTATGCCACATGAATTCCTACATGGCCAAATAAAAAAAACACCAAAAATTGATTTTGTTAATAAAATACACACATCTGACAATAATCGGTATTGAAAACATCTTGACAGGTGACAGCAGAAGAAGTTTTACAATTCCTTGAAAGTGATTTTAAAAAAGTGCCAAAAAAAATGTGTTGAGGAAGAGCTATGGGCATAGAGCACTGTACAAAGAAACCTATGGTCACTAAGGGTATGCATTTACAAAATGCTGGCCAACTTGTATTCATGTTTGAAAAACCTCCTAATTCAATTCATACATATGCCAACTAACCCATATATGTAAACACGGGCAATCGTGGACCCCCTATTGTCCCTAATCCTCATTCCTTTGTTTGTACTCTCATTGGTTTTGTACATGAATTTTATTCATGAACTATCGGTCAATCGTGGATGTATTGTTTGTGCCCTAACCCTTTTGTCCTAGGTCCACGATTGCCGGTGTTTACATACTCACATCTTTTTGAGAGTGAAATTTTGACCTTGATTTCCTTGCCACCGAGCTTACCACCGTGCTTGCCGGAGTCGGCTGGCTGGTTCGAATCAGACATAGCAGCGGGTACCGCAACGAAACAATTCAAAAATTGGCAAGCTCGGTGGTCGAGTGGTAAGACGTCTGCACTAGTAAGCAGGAGGTCGTGAGTTCGAGTCCCACCCGAGTAATTTTATCTCACAATCACTCAGGGGCAACACCGAGTATACAGTGTATATAAAAATACGTCGGTGAAGGGCAAACCCCAATGTTGAACTCATGGTACATGTCGAAAAATAGTTTAAGTCCAAACGAGAGGAATAAAAATAATGAAAAGTATGGGTCCTAAGTAGTAACTTAACCTGACTGTATTATTTGTTGTGTGTACATTTTTTATGTACAAGTTTGCGCTGGTATGTGTCGACCAATCTTTGAACAACTTGGCTTGCATCCAAGTTGAGCCGATTTAACCCAGTCTTACCTCAAGGAGGTCGATCATGCGAGTCATCTGTGAGTAGATGAGGACTCGGTGTCCCTGCCTCTTGAGTCTTGTCAGTAACTCATCCAGGACGTACAGCTTGCCTGAGTCCGTCACTAAATACTGTTTGTCTGCCATAAGATCGGGAGAAAGTTAAAAAAAAAGCCATGAAAATTCCACTTTCTTTTGTTGTCTAGTTGTAAACAATTCTCTTACGGTAAAATCTCAGGAATTCCAGATTTGAAAAGGGATTCTTTAAAATTCCTGAAATCAGAAAAAATCCTGACAAAAAAAAAATCTTGAAATCAGGAAAACTTCTTGCCAAAAATCTCATAAAATCAGGAAACATTCGTGCCACGAAAATCCTGCCATCAGGAAAAATCATGACACAAAATCTTGAAATCAGGAAAAATTCTTGCCAAAAGTATCATGAAATTAGGAAAAATTCTAGCTACAAAAATCCCCAAATCAGGAAAAAACCTGTTATTAAGGCAGAGTCCTAATCAGCATGAAAGCTTATGGCATGTAAATTTGTTAAATTGTGGCATGCATTCGCACTGTAAATTCACAACACTTACACAAAATTACAACGCATTTCAACCCCGGCTGATTGAGCTCCAAAAAGTTTGCAACATAAAATTTACTGTTCATAATTAACTTCAAAGGCTGAATTTTACCTCAAAACCTTCTGTGACAAAGATTTTTTTTTCTTCTAAATTCTCTGGTTACAGTCAGACCAAACCAAACATCAAATTAATATTTTGGATACTTTCTCTTAAAAGGTGCTGTTCAAGTCACTTCACATGGTGTACTTCGACCACTCAAAATCTGGTGTTGGCGTTTTAACTTGTGACTTACTTGGCTTGAGCTTTTAATTGTGACTTGCCTGTATTTTGACTTGTGATAGCATGTGTTTTGACTTGTGACAGCTTGTGTTTTGACTTGTGATAGCTTGTGTTTTGACTTGTGATAGCTTGTGTTTTGACTTGTGATAGCTTGTGCTTTGACTTGTGACTGGCCTGTGCTTTGACTTGTGACTGGCTTGTGCTTTGACTTGTGATTGGCTTGTGATTGACTTGTGATTGGCTTGTGCTTGGACTTGTGATAGCTTGTGTTTTGACTTGTGATAGCTTGTGCTTTGACTTGTGATAGCTTGTGCTTTGACTTGTGATAGCTTGTGTTTTGACTTGTGACAGCTTGTGTTTTGACTTGTGATAGCTTGTGTTTTGACTTGTGATTGGCTTGGGTTTTGACTTGAAATCGGCTTGTGATTTGACTTGTGATTGGCCTGTGTTTGACTTGTGATTGGCTTGTGCTTTGACTCGTGATTGGCTTGTGCTTTGATTTGTGATTGGCTTGTGCTTTGACTTGTAATTGGTTTGTGATTGACTTGTGATTGGTTTGTGCTTTGACTTGTGATTGGCTTGTGCTTTGACTTGTGATTTGCTTGTGCTTTGACTTGTGATTGGCTTGTGATTTGCCTTGTGATTGGCTCGTGATATTTGACTTGTAATTGGCTTGTGATTGGCTTGTGCCTTGACTTGTGATTGGCTTGTAGCTGACTCTTGAGTAACACCATTACAACTCTGGATGGAAGGACATACCTGGGATATGAATTTTGGACCAGCCGTGGGGCGGCCTGACTGCTCTCATTCCAGCCAGGGGTGGAGGGAAGAGCGCCCCCTTGAGGCTGTCCCGATAGTGATCCGGCGATCCATGAAGGGCGCACTGCCAGGCATCCAAGGAACCACCAAGTTCTTGCCGTATGCGGTCGTACTCTGCCTGTCGATCGCGGCAGTAGCGGCCCATTGATGGAGCGAGAACCTGTTAGATTAAAGGGAAAATACAACATTTGCAAACATCAAAAAATAAAACTACCAAATTATTTTGAAATACCTTGCTGGACTGTTAGTGAATGACAGTGTAAAGCATCCTGTAAAATCATGGCACCTGGTATACTGTCATTTTCAAGAAAAGTGGTATTTTGGTATCAATTTCCAACGCTGATCGGCCGATCAACGTTGGAAAAAACTGGCTTTTTTTCAAATACTGGCCCTAGTTGACCATCGCACTTGTTTGCAATCGATTACACACCTATGAACGGGTACAAGCCAGCTAGACTGGTTCCCTGACCTTACAATTCCCCAATATATGTAAACTGCTCTGTTTCTTCTTAAATGGAGTCAGGGAACCAGACTACAGGAAAATGATTGTTTTTCTTGGTTTTTATAGCATTTTCGAACCCAAAACCTCAAAAAAGTCAGTGTAACTATATTTGCTATATATTTCCAACCCCCCAATTCCATCCATTTCTGAAAATTACAGCAAAAGCGAATGATGTATATTCCCTTTAAAAAAAGCAGAAAATTCTCATTCTATACAAGCATGTCACCTGTGATGTAATGCCTGTGGGTAGAAACAACATCTTGCCGCTTTTTATAACCAACTGTACGACATAGGATGATTGAAAATAAATAAGAAATAAATACGTAAATTATGAAAAATGGTGATAAGTTTGTCCTGTACCTTTGGCATATAGTGAGAGATGAAGTCTGGTAGCAGCGTAGGACTGCAGATTCGGACGGCTGAGGGTCGGTCTGACATGATCGGTAGGAAGTGACCAGAGGATAGGAGTCCGCTCACATTGTGGCTACTGTTGCCTTGCCGGACCTGTGTTGAAAACAACAACAATCAGGGTTCAAATACCTGCCATTAATGTAACACTCGCTTTTACTGGCATTTCAGAGTCACAACTTATCTGAGGATTTGAATTAAATGTGTAAGTACACGAAAAGTTCTACGTTTGAAATAGTCAGGACAGATTTTGTTGGAAGATGAATCGTTCAGAACATCTGCAGATACTAGTTGACGGAAAATGCACCAAGTACGCCTTTTCGAAACCAAAATCTATTTGAGTCGACCCCTAATAATCTGAATCAACGTGACTCTGGAATAGCACTCTAAAAACGGTGGCAGTTACTTCACATTCTGACGGATGTCTTGATACTTTCTGACTTTCAGCAGCTGACACTGAATCAGGGTTGTAGTCAAGTCCAAAAATAGGCTGCATACAAGTTTGTGGAGCGGAGTGGGACTAAAGCCGTTTAAAAAAAACTGAGCGGTCTCAGCACTTGGGTTTTTAAGGTAGCAACATATTTTGGAAACAAAATGTCCGCGTATTGACAACAGGACTTGGACTTCAAAACTTACAAGGATAGTAACCTTAACCTTCATAGATCAATCCAAATCCAACAGGTGTTTTGGGAGGATTTTGTGGGGTTGAGGAAGGTAGAGTCAAGATAGTTACTGTCAAAAGGCTTTAAGCCTCATGAAAGTATAAGTACAAAGAAATGCCAAAATTCCATCATAGAAAATAGTAAATGTTTTATCAGTTTCCACTACAGTGGAGGGTTTGAGAGAATTAGAATGTGTCAAGCACCCATGTCAAGATGCTACGTCATTGTTTACATTGAGACAGGCGTCGCCAGGGGGTTGTAGGGGGTACAAGGGAGGCACTTGCTCCTCCACGTCGTATGCGAACCAACCATGCAGTGTCCAACACTGGAACTCTACTTCCTGTAAAGGGTCCACCACTGACCTTCCTAGCAGCTGCTGGACTCCTAGGGCTCCTCGGGCTACGGGGACTCCCGCCGCTGCTGCGTGGACTCCGCGGTGACTGCCTGTCTGGAGTCCCCTCCCCGTTCACCGAGGCGCTGTCCGAGTCCTGCACCCCACCAAGACGGATCCGGCGATGCCAGTGGGTCTCGGGCATGAAGTAGTAGGTGTGGGTGTCGTGGGAGACTAGGGTGGAAGTGTGGCCGGTGAATATGAGGTCTTGGAAGGGCTGGCTGGTGGCGACGTTCGGGGGACTGGTGGGCCAACAGGGCCAGAGCAGCAGGCTACGTCTGCTCAGGTATCTGCAGGTTGGAAGTAACACTGAGATGATTGAGCTATTCAAATGATCTGTGACTAGACCATTCCTTTGTTATTGTTCATCAACCTGTTACTTGCAATTTGTCTTGCGGTCTACTTGTGACAGTTCTCGTGATGGACTTTTGATGGACTTGACAACACTAAAGGGTTTAATTTGGGAGGAGTTTGCAGATACACAATGTGAAATGGCCCAAGTGTTCATCACAAAGTGCTTGACAGAATGACTAAAACAAGCTCGATCAACAGTTTCGTTTGCATATCAAGTTCAGGTCCAATGCCCGATAGTCATTTATGGTTGGACTAATCTCAATATTAACGACCAGCCGTTGAAGGTTGGTTTTACTGCTGGTTACCAACAGCCGTGTGCATTGTAACGTGCAGCAGGGAGCCAGGACTGAGATATTTCTTCATGACATTTGATCATCAGTACTAGGGATCTTCGCTCTATAGCCCCAACAGTCCTGAATCCTCCAATTTCAATACGATTTTGCACACCACCTACGGAGTTAGGGTTAATATTGGGTCTCAAGATACTGCATCAATCCACCACAAGTCAGCTGATTGCCCATCATCAAACTTCCCCCAAATGTCAGGTTTAAAGGTAATATACAACATTTGCTTTTGCTGCAATTTTCAGAAATGGATGGATTTGGGGGTTAATATTCTGTAGCAAATATTGTTACACTGACATATTTAAAGTTTTGTGTTCATTGATGCTGGAAAAAAACCAAGACAAAAAATGTTGTTCTTGTAGTCTGATTCCTTGTACCTACATACGAAATGCAGCAATTTATAGATGTAGAATTGTCAGGTCAGGGAACAAGACTAGCTGGCTCACACCCGTTCATGGACGTGCCACCGATGGCAAACAAAATGTGGACTGACTAAATTTGGTAAATTGGGGTCAGTATTTGAAGAAAAAAAAGTCAGTTTGGAAATTGATACAAAAATTTCACTTTTCTGGAAAATGACAGCACACCAGGTGCAATGATTTCACTGGATGCTTGAGACAATAATTCACTTACAGTCAAGTTGGTATTTCATAATAATTGGGTAGTTTTGATTTTTGATGTTTGCAAATGTTGTATATTATCTTTAATGTGTTTTTTTCGCACTGCACTGTATATAGGACTAAGCGAAAAATCAGAAGCCATAACAGAGGTGGAACCACGCTCCTGCCAATGTTGCACGGGTTTTTTAACTAGAAGCACAGATGCAGTTTGGCAACCCTTTTGGTCGAAGGAGCATAGAGTGCATGTGCGTCTTGTGCACGAGTGTGGTTGCACCCCAGTCATGGCTTCTACTTGAGGTACTTGACTTGCTCTATACCTAGAGTGGTCTTTGTCCGTTGCCCACTGGTACCCATGATGGACCCTGTAGGCAGACTTCATGATGAGGAACAGGGCCAGCCAGCGGGCCATCAGGCCCATGACCAGCTGGCTGTGGAGCTGGGCCGGCGAGACGTCCACGAAACGGGCAAAGGAGAAACAAGAGCTGCGTGGGCGGTGGGAGGGGGACGGAGCCAGGGAGGTGTGGATGTAGTCGGGGGTGAAGACTGAGAAGGTGCTGCGGAGCAGTCTGGAGGGGAAAAAAGGCACAGAAAGAGGTGTAATAAAGAAAAAGCAAGTTTTCATTTTTGAAGCGACTTTCTAAACTAGAGTTTCCCCACGTACCAAAACATCTGCAATGCCGGCACAGAAAGGTTGGACCATGTACAGTACTACCACCAACATTGACAATAGAAGCAGAAGTCCATTAACCACTTTGCTCTACCACAACTGACCTATCGCTGTAGAATCGCGTTAGAATCGCATCAACGCAGCTTGTGAAATATTGTCCAATTACATGATATATAAGTGGACGCGGAACGAGCACAATCTGAGACAAACAAAACTTGGTGTACAAAAACTCGCAAACGGTGATAGGTCAATCTCCAATAGACCTTAATAGACATAATGACGTCGTGTTTTGTTTACCTTCTGAAAAAAAGGTTTTTGTTTTGGGTAAAAACTGATCCGCTTTGCAAGCAGACTGGCTCTCGGTCCATACATTATCGACACTGATTGTGAGGCGGGAACCAGCCTACCCTACGAGAAGAGGATTATTGTCTGACAGCCAATAATTCAAAATCGTAATGTGAATAACTTTGTATTGCTAGAAAAACAGCAATTAAGAAAAGGAATCTATTGTTCGGGATGAAACTCGAAAATAGCATGGGGAACGCAATTTTAAGTAAACTAAACTTTCTACATCTCTTCAATACATTTGTTGTTTTCTACCATTTGTACCCCCAAAATTTGGTGTTGTTACAACATCCACATTTATTTTGCTATTTGGGTTCAATTATGGGCAAGTTCAATCAAGGACCATAGTTAACCATAGTTTGACTAACTCTGATGGAACGCACGCTAGTCGACGATGGTTGGACTAGTCTAGTTGACTATTCAGGACCAGCCTAACACGGTTGGTCACGCAATGATTTATAGCTGCTTATCAAAAGCCATTTGTCATAGTGCAGAGGGGACCAAGTATCAACAAAAATGGTGACAAAACGAGAACTGTGAGTGCTAAACTTAATTGCCATTTTCATAGTTTACAATTCTGTCACTTTGTCACCCTTGTACAATAATAATGGCGATTATGTACGGAGTCCTTAACTACACAATCACTATTATTTGTGTAAATAAACAGAAACATCAAGTGTTGGAAAAATTATGTGCGACTGCCATTTTCTCACGATTGTTGACATGATAATAGTTCGACCAGAAGCGTTCACACTTCAACTTCAGTGCGCATGCGCTAGGTACGTCACAAACCAACCACTAGTTAACAATTAGTCCTTGATCGAACTTGCCCTATGATGACTAGGTCGATGAAAAATGCAGATACACAAAAGTATGCCCTTTTATAATACATGAGACTCACTTGTTTCTTGTGGTGTCCATACAATCCACCATACCCTCGTGGTAGATCAGTCGAGGTAGGATATGTACAGGGGGGTCTAGTTGACAGTAGAATGGGGAGTATGAGTCTCGCCTCTCAAACAGCTCTGGGTGGTTACAAACCTAAACAGAAATTTAAATTGTTCACAAAATTATCAGTACACAACTTGAAGGTAATATACAACATTTGCAAACATCCAAAAACATAACCACCAAATTATTATGAAATACCTTTCTTGACTGCAAGTGAATAACAGTCTCAAGCATCCTGTGAAATCATGGCACCTGGTGTGCTGGCATTTTCAAGAAAAGTGGCAGACCATCATTGGAAACTAAACTGACTTTTTTCAAATACTACCCCCAATTTTCCAAATTTAGTTAGTCCACATTTTGTTTGCAATCCGTTACACATCCGTGAAGGGGTTGAGCTAGTCTGGTGCCCTGACCTGAAAATGCCCCAACGTCTACAAATTGCTCAGTTTCGTCTAAAGTAGGGCCAGGGAACCAGACTACAGGAACAAGATTGTTTTTCTTGGTTTTTCCAGCATCTACGAACGCAAAACTTCAAACAAGCCAGTGTAACAATATTTGCTATAAAATACTAACCCCAAAATCCATCCATTTCTGAAAATTACAGCAGAAGCAAATGTTGTATATTCCCTTTAACCATATCAACAATTTTTAAAGTTAGAAACTTTAATTTGTTCTCTCTTTTGGAGTTGTTTTTTAACCAAAAACCTTGGTTCTTTTGGAGTTAGTTTTTAACCAAAAACCCTGGTTTTTTTATACCTTTCTGAACTGCATGACGAGGTTCATGAGACTGTTGGCCGTGCTCAGTGACTGAGAAGAGGTTGATGAAGACGTTGATGAGGATGATGAGGAGGAGGATTGTAAGAGGTCCTCAATGGAGATCTTATTCCTAAGAGCTTGGTAGAACAACCGCTGTCTGGTCGTCAGGTGACAGTATACCAGGATCTCAATCTAAACAGAGGTAACAGAATGATTTGATATGCGGGCAATTGCTGCTTTATGGAGGAAAATGTAATGTCTGTGAGACCCTGACAGAGCCAATCAACCATGATAATAATATGTGTATAAAGCGCAATGATGCCAGTTCAGCACAAAATAGTTAAAATCAATCACGATAACCATCTCTGCCCTCACAGGTACCCATTTACTCCTGGGTGGGGAGAAGCAATGAGTGACAAAGTGCCTTGCCTATGGGCACACACGCCATAACCCCAGGCTGGACTCGAACCCACAACCAGCAGAATTACCCTCAGACCATGAATTCAATGCTCCAAACCAGGAGGCCGTTCACAATTATCAACATTTTCACAAGTGTACAAAGAGTACACTTTTTCAAGACCCCCCCCCCTCCCCCCTAAATGTGTACATAAAAAATGTTGATTTTTTTTCACACAAGTCTATATATAGACACTTGCATGTGATTTAATGGGTTTTTGTAACTTTTGTAGATCAAGTTTTTGTACTATGCATGTACATGTACATACAGTACATTTTCATGAACGTGTGTAGGACAATGCCGCGCATGCTGTACACAATACGTTCATGGGATGCAATGCGGGGCCTGGCGCGGGGCGCGACCGGCTTTGCAAGTGCTCAATCGGCATCGGTTGCGGCTGTCGGCTGTGGCGACGGGCGAGAAAACAGATCAACATTTAAAAAAAAAAAAAAACGTTAGGCGGGCATTAACGGGCGAGAAAACATATCGACATTAAAAAAAAAAAAAAAAAAGCGTACGGCGGCCATTAACCCCCCTCCCCCCCAGTGTACGGTTTGTACGCTCGTGAAAATGTTGATAATTGTGAACGGCCCCTTACTAGATAATGTATAAGATTTGAAAAATTCATTTTCAGGTTTATCACTGAGTTCTTTAAGTCCAAAAAAAAAGAGTCTAACTTGTAATGTCTGTGTGATGCTGGAACTGCCCATAATGTTTTGCATTTCATCAACATAGTTAATAATCACTGTATACTCAGTTTTCAATAATTTGAGAACAATTCACAACGTTGATAGGGTGGGATTCGAACCCGCAACCGCCCGCTTACTAGTGCCAACGTCTTAACCAATTGAGCATTGAGCTTCACAGGGTCAGCAAGCCATTACATGACCAGCCAAGAACCCATCATATATGCCATGAATGTAATACCTTATCAGAGAGCTCATTCTCCACGTCTTTCTTGACTCGTCGTAGCATGAACGGCTTGAGGATCATGTGAAGTCTGGATAGTTGCTCTGCAAATACAGGACAAAAACAACTTGCTTATTATTTTTTTTTACCCTTTACCCATTCCCCCCCCCCCCCCCCCCAAGTATAGATATTTATAACCAAGGCTTCCTTAAAGGAAGAGTAGATCATTTGTCATTTGTTTTGTTTGAAGCAACAAAAGTGCTCAAAATCTAACGACGGGTGCTCAACAACTAACCTGATGAAGGAATAGCTCTGCGTATGCTGTTTACTCTGACAAAACAACATTCTGAAAATCTCGACTTAAATTTTTGAATTTTTTAATTGCCCCCTAAATCAGCATCTGGGACACGTTCTCATTCAGCCAATTGCAGCTACGCAATGTCACACACTAAACCGATGAATAATAGCAAAGGAGTAAACTTAAAGAAGCTCATACCTTCATTGATGCCAGACTGTCGCTCCGCATGGCTCTCTATGTCCTTAGAGAACCACTCATTAAACTCATCGTGGCTGTCAAACAACGTCGGCATGATGAAGTGAAGCAGTGCCCACAACTAATGTACACAGGAAAAAATATATTGTCCTCATCAAACATACGTAAAAATGTTCAGCACACAATCATATACGGTCAGCATGCCGCATAGGTCTGCTGTTTATATGGTCTTCTGACATTGTGTGCAACTTGCTGTCTGCTATACAAGTACATGGACGTAGACATGTTGCTCACTATGGGCCTTATTCATGAGTCGGCCATATTGAATTTAAAGTGAGGTAAAATCTTCATTTTTGGAACTTGCGAAGAGAAATGAAAGCAATGACATAAAGTTAATTACACATTATACCAGGCTGCTCTGATGAATAATTACAAATTTATGATTAAACATACCCTAATGTTTTAAGCCACATAAATGAAAGTGAGGCTAAAATGTACAAATAGTCTGGCACCATCCCATTCAATAGTTCACAAGTAATACAGGGAACCCGATTAAAATTACTTTCTCGTGAATAAAGTCCATGCATCACTGTAAGACACAAGTAGAGTGTCAATTTTTACCTGTTTTTCATGGTTAACAAAACAATGAAGAATTGCCTAACATGTATGCATCATTGAAGTGAGGGTTTCAAAGCAAGATTAGCCAAAGACAGGAGATTTTCAACAGAGCATGGACTATACTCCAGCCACTGGTCTACTACAGAATCGGACCATGGTTTTTGTGATAGCTTAGGCTGCATTTGAATGAACATGGCTAGGACGAGCAGTTACACACATTCATTTGTGCGTATTTATAAAGACGCATAACACTGTCGCGTATATGTAAATTGGCCTTTAGTGTATTATTGACGATGCTCAGTTTTTTGGCTGTGCATTGGAACCGGGTACCCGAGTACCCGACCGTTAATGTCAGGAACCGGTTCCAGATTATGGAATCAAGTACCCTTACACCAACTTTGCAAATTACTTAGTAACTTCTCAGTCCATGAAAAGGAAATGTTGCGAATGTCAGCGGGAAAATTTCAAAATGAAAAACAGGATACATGGAAAACCAAAACCAATTTCACATTTTATGATGCTTGTGAAAGTTGCGGTTTTCACCACACAGCTAAAGAGCTCACTGCATACACCCTATCCAGCTGTATTGCCGCACCGATGTGTCAGTAATATCATGGGACCTTTATGATCAATCTGAACAGCAACTTCCCAGATTTGAATTTTTGGCTTGGGTTTCTTTAACGGGTACCCGGGTACCCGTATTTTTTTTCAATAGGGTACCCGGTTCCTGTACTACCCGTAAATGCACACCTCTACTCAGTTTGAACCCTGATCCCTGATCCTTGAACCCTGACCACTGACCTCTGCCATGCTGTTCTGGATGGGTGTGCCAGTGAGGAGCAGTCTGTTCCGACAGCTGAACTGAAGCAGTAATTTCCACCTCACACTGTCAAGATAAGCAAAAAAACAAACAAGCATAACATCAGTTAATAAGATCTTATTAAAGCTACCAGTGAAATAGGATAATTTGACGTCAAAACTTGCAAAGAGTAGCATGACAAATGGTAATGGATAGTTCGGAAAGAATGTTGCATCCCGACGCCACTTTTTTTCATCATATGTTATCTCAATGAAGCATGTGAAGGTCAGTCATTGCAAAAATATTGAAAAGACATGAATCTGGGACTGAGAAACATTTCCAATTTTGTTAGAAAATACTTTGGAAATGCACTCGACTCTCCATAGACTTTGTACACAAACAAAGAAGTGGCATCTGGATACTACATTCTTTTCCGAAAGTTCTTGCTAAACAAACGGGCAGAGCTAACCACACAAGTTTTTCAAATAATGAAATCTTACAATTCAATAGAATGGTGTTACAAGCGGTGTTGCCTGAGTCTAACCACTTTAACAGATACCATGAACACTAACCACATATCAGACATTGGTTGAGATTGATGAGTGAACTTACAGTGAACCTAACCAAAATGGAACACAAACGTGTGTTCACCGTCGATCGTGGACGTCCTATTGTCCCTCTTTTGTTTGTACTCTAACTTTTTAGGAAGACTCCCATAGGTTTTGTACACGACCCCAATCGTGGACGTATGCTGGGAATCGTGGACGATATTGTTCTCTTTTGTTCTCTGGTATTTTTCGTCCACGGTTTGAAAAGATGAATACGTACATACCAGCATGTTTGTTTATGGTGTAAATCGAGGATTTTCTATTGTTCCTCTTCCCTTTTCCTTTTTTTATACTGTAATTTTTTGCAACAGCTCTCATTGGTTTTGTACACCATTTCTAACTGAGGAGTCCTCAATTCGGTTCCCGTCCTCAATTCATTGATGATGTTGCACGTGTGTGTCCTCGATTTATACCATAAACAAATGCATACGGACACACAGAAGGAATACACTATTGCAATATCCCCCTGTCTGGCTTTAAGGTACAGTCCATCATTTGTAATTTGTGCATTTTGCTCGCTTGAAGCAACAAAAGTGCTCAAAATCTAAAGAAGGGTGCTGAACAACTAACCTGATGAACTTTCAGCTCAGCTTCAGCTGTATATTTCAAGAGAAACAACATTCTAGGATCTCGATTTCTAATCAAAAGTTGCTGATTCATGTTTTGAATTGGGCCTGAATTCAGCGTCAGAGACACATTCTCACTCAGCCGATTGCAGCTATGCGATGTCGCGCACTGATCCGACGAATTATAGCAACCAAAACAACCACGCGGGCATGTGCGTCATGTCAACACTTGCACACACTTCGCCAAATAAAAAAAAGAACTACTAACGGAAATTTCCAACGATGCATCTTTTGACGCATCGTTGGAAAGCCCTTCTTTCATTGATTTCTTCAAATTGACAGCTTGCCAGAAAGAATAATTTCACAGGGAGCTTAGGCCCCTTACTATCTTTCAACCAACTATGTTTCTCAACACTAATTACGTCAGTTACTTTTTGGATGGCTGCAAATGATGGACTGTAGCTTTAAAAGCCAGGGGGATAAAAAAAACATAGCACAAGGAAACATTAGATACAATCAAAGTATAACTTACCTGGAGCTACTCTTGATGGCCTGTGCCTCGTCCAGGATCATGTAGTGCCACTTGATGCGTTGGAAGTACTTGATGTCCTGGATGACCAGTTGGTAGCTGGTGATCAGGATGTGAAACTCGCTGTCCGTGGTCTGTAAAGGCCGCTGGCTCCAGAACTTGCGCAGGATCCGACGCTCCTGGGGGTTGCCCCAGTATGGAAGCACCTGAGGGAGGATAGACAGACATGTTGCGTTAGGAGACATGAGACCAAAGAGCTGACCTCCTTGTAGGTGATCCATTTTAGTCTTCCAAGTGATTGTTCTAATACTACAGCCACTTTCATCAAATAGTGCATAATATATGCAATATGCGTATGTAGGCTTTTTTGATTTGTTAAAATGGTTAAAACTGGTGGGAATATTGTTACATGCTACGGTAGCTCTACCATTTTGATACATGTAGGTTTATAGTATGAAAGGTTTCGCTGTGAGGCCTGTAATTTGCATATATATTCAAAAACCTATGATATTATAATTAGGTGCAGGATGGGCTGGTGCTTCTACACTACAGCAAGCCTATGTTTGGTTTTGTAAGGTGTTAAGGGTACCGGACCTAGGCAAATCCTCATGATGCCTGATTTGCATATAAGTCATAGACACGCACTGTGTTACTTTTGCAAAATGTGTCATAATGTGTAAACAAAAAATTGTGGTGTACATGTACATGTAAGTCGAGTAGCACCATTGACAAATTTAATTGTAACAATAACATCACTGGTGATCTACAAAGTGAACTTCAGCACATTGACAAGGCACTATCATCTTGTGGCTATCCGGCTTGGACTAGAAAAAGAGCGAAAGACAGAGTAAGCTCCAAGGCTCTCCCGAAAGAAAAGAAGGAATTCAGTCAGAGAGTAGTTCTTCCTTTCGTCAACACAATATAGCACCACGCTTGAAACGTGCTTTCCATAGCAAGGACATCTGTGTTGCTTTTAGAAGTCCAAACACCCTTAGAAGTAAGCTAGTTCATCCTAAGGACAAATCGCCTATAGAAGAGAGAACAGGTATTATCTACAAGATAGCTTGCACTGATTGTGACAGTTCCTACGTTGGAGAAACAGGGAGAACATTAAAGGAGAGATTGAAAGAACACAAACGAGCTCTTAGACTGAACAATCCATCTCTTTCTTCAGCAGTTGCAGAACACACCCTTAATACTGGACACAACATTGGATGGGACAATGCCCACATTATCGACTTTGAAACACATTTCTGGTCAAGAAAGGTGAAAGAATCCATCTGGATCAAAAGGATTAATCCCTCACTGAATAGGGACTCTGGTTACTCATTATCACCTATCTACGCTCCAGTGATCTCGGGACAACAGACAGCAAGAAAATTAGTACACAATCACTTGGCTTGAGAAAGTCCACAGGAGTGGATGAAAGCTTGCCTACTAAAAAAACAGGTTGGTAGAAGCTTAAACTACATGTTATGATCACCCCAACCAATGAAAGTTTTCTGTAATAACATCACTGCGATAGCGAGCACATAAAATTGGCGCACTGACTGGCTATCATGCACAAAATGAAACTTAGTGTCTGCTATCCAAGAAAAAAAAACAATAAAAAAAATTGTGACACAGTATATACAAGAAACAAACGGTAATTAATCAATTATTTTTTAATAAAGGCATTTGCCTGGAGAAGTAGATGCAAAATTTTAAATATTTAAAAGCTGATTCCAACAGATGGAGTCGGAGGACAGGATACAGCAATTACATCATGCTAATAGTTATGGGCAGTTAATTCTGATGCACGATAAATCATTTTAATGAATGTCTTTCTATTAAAAATTTAAGTTATTCTTACAAATGTTATCTTTTTCTGTGCGACGGCACAGGCATCGTCTCGATTGAGCAACTGGCAAACCATTTACACAGACAACAGGATGAATTTTTCATACATCAAGGGTGGAACTCTTTGTTTGAATTTTGTTTTTGTTTTTTTTGTTTTTTTGAAATTTACAAGTCCAAAGGAATTGCATATACCGTGGAGATGCGACACAATTTAGATTCAGCGTAGCTATTCAGACATCAGGAATAATTGTTTCACTGTGTGCGTTTAATCTTTCACTTACCAGACTTTTGTCTAGCATCCAGCCCTTTTCTGAGGAATATGCTCTGTAAACTGGACATGACATGTACACAATCTCCTAATCATGGTTTCCTGAGTGCTTTGTAAGACAGAAATAAAAAAAAAAAAAAAAACTAGAAAAAAATCTCATAGCAGAAGTCTTGCGAGCTCCAATGCATTATTGGATATCTGTGACTGCCTTTCTAAGCAGAAAAGTTCTTGTTGGCCGTCAGATTGGTTCATTCTTCTCCTCTTAAACCTAGATGAAGCTGGGTTTGTTCACGATGGCATCCTCACTTTGGAACCAAAGTAACTATTCCAGCTATGACTACCAAAACAACTCTTTCACCTACGACTACATGAACGAAATGGCGTCATCGTATTGGAACCAGAGTGACAACTCTAACACCACATATGCTGACAACAGTTCCATGTATTACAACTACTTTGACTATTCCCAAGCATCCGAAGCCTTGTGGTATTTCATAACTGTGTTATCCGTTCTCACATGCGTTCTGGTGGTTGTGTTAAACGTCGTCTGCCTGATTGTGCTGCATCGCACGAGAGCACTGCAGGAGCCTACCAAGGTTTTCATGATGTCACTCAATGCTTCTGACTTATTGAGTGGAATAACTGTGTGCGTTCCCACGACTGTCAACTGGACGATCCAACGTTGGCCGTTCGGGCGAATCCTGTGTAAGATTTACGCGACATTTGGCATGCAGCTCTTCATAGCAACCATTCTCTCTGTGTTGCTGCTGACAATAGACCGCTACATCGCTATTTTTTTCCCTCTGCGATATCCAAGCATGCTGACCCAGACTCGAGCCAGGATCACCGTGTGCTGTATGTGGGTCTTCATTCTGATTTCATCAGCTGCTTTTAGGTTCATTCCGGATTCAGAAGTTGAAGCTATAGAGTTTGGTCATTGCTACTGGGAATTCCAATCTACGCCGTACTACGTCGCCATCTTCACCGGTATGATTCTCGTACCGACACTTATCGTCACGATTCTGTACGTCAAAATTGTGCAGACGGCGCTGAAACAGAGCAAGCGCATCGGTCAAGAAGAAGGGCAATTCCGTGACCGCGAAGGTGGGAATCCATTGGGTCGGAATCGTCCAAACAGAGGTAACAGAAAGTCTCTTATCACTCTTGCTGTAATTACCATGTCAATGTACGTCTGTTACACGCCGCTGATCACACTGCACATTTTGAACGGCATGTCCCGGGTATACATATCATCTGAGACTGAAACAATCCTGTCTCTCAACTACATGACTAATTCTTGGCTCAATGTGGTTATTTATCTGTTCAGAAACAAGGATCTCCGTAAGGAGGCAAAGGCTCTCATCAAATGGCCTTGCATGAAAAACATGAACCCAATGAATGGTTAAAGAGCAATGGACCTTTCCTGCTGGCAAATCAAACAGTGCGCATTGATTGACTCGAACACGACTCTTAGTGGGATGACTACAGTAACTCTGCCAAACCCGGTCACGAGCGCTGTTAGAAATGTACACAAACCAAAGGTGGGTAGGGCTTATGCCACAATATAAAATGGTCCATTGCAACAAAAGCCAAAAAATGGGTTTTTGAACACAGTTTTTAAAACACCGTAATCCAGAAAATGCTTTGAGGATTCAATTGCGACATTAATATCAGATTTTGAAATGCAACTTTTCTTGATACCCCTATTATTTTCTGAAATATTTTTTCAAATGTCGACATACATGTAGTTCCATGGAAACATTCTTGACAGTTCTGTATCTGTATCTGTATCATATAGTCGGCAAAGCATCCCAGGGGAAACATCACACCAACTTAGAGAGAAGACAATGAGAACAAATTACATTTTCAGAGGTGGGAGGAAAAGCCCAGAACATATTCTGGGGAAAACCCACAGAATCAGGTAGGGACTGAAATCCCAATCCACATGTTGATCCAGGCGGGATTCGAGCTCGGGTCACAGCGGTGGAAAGCAAGGATAGCACCGCTACGCCAACCAGTTCCTGGGAAGAACATAAAATTGTATCTCCAGCCACACACCTTCAAATCAAAGTTTCTTTTCAGACAATCAGAGCAAATTATCACATATTTCTTTTTAAGCGTACCATTTCTTTACCATTGTGCTGCTTATTTCAGTTTCATGAGAAGTTACTAAAATGGGGTAAAAAAATTAATATCAAAATATAAAATATTTATAAATATTAATTATCAAGGGAATAAATATGTGCTTGACCAGTTGTAAACCAGTACGTTTAAAACCGGCTAGGGGCCTGGGGCCAATTTCATAGAGCTGCTTAAGCACAAAATTTGCTTAAGCACAAAAACGTCCTGCTTAATAAAATCATGTTACCGGCCAAAACTCCATGCGATTGTTATGCTAAGTCAACAACAGCTAAATACCAGTCACAAGCAATGTACATCACATGGAGTTTTGGCCGGTGACCTAATTTTACTAAGCAATGTTTTTTCGTGCTTAAGCAAATTTTGTGCTTAAGCAGCTCTATGAAATTGGGCCCAGGTCGCTGATAATGGCACGAGCCAAAGGCCTGAACCAAAAAAGCCAGACCTGAAGATGAATGGTTGTTTACTGTATATTTTGTTTGTACAGAAAGTGGCAAGTGAAAGAAAACCTCTTTTTTATTATAGTGGTGTAAAGAATTGGTCGTTTTGTAATTTGGTGAAATCTTGTAGAACTGTCTTTATTAAAATCTTCCTTCTCTGGCTGGAAATTTCAACAAAAGCCGTCCCATCAGCCAAAATTTATCGAGTGACAGTTTTTAACAGAACTTAAGAGCTCTCTGCCATCGTAAAGCAGGATTGATCGGCTGTGACTGTTTATGTCACTTGATACAGCTTTGCTTTGACTGTAGGAGATTGATAAGCCAGCTGTGCAGGTTACTTGCTTTTGTCTGTTGATGGAATTTCGACTAGTCACAGTGCCTACAAGAAATATGATCTGCCTGTTGGTGACTAGCCTAGTTATGGGAGAGGAATTGGATTGAATGTCGGACAGTCTGTGACTAATCAGACAATGGGAGGGTTTTAATGATGACTTTGTGGTGTAAACGTAATTGATTGTGAGAATGTTTTCCAATGTGCAGTACAGTGTACAGACTGGCTTCAACGTGATTATGTTTCACTTTATTGACATGCATCCTTTTATTTGTTTTAAATGTTCTCATCATAGTAATAGTGCAAATGTATGTATAATCATGGAGGGAGGAATTCCTCCATTGTATAATCTATGAATGTGCTTTAAAAAAAAAAGTTGTTTATTAATAGAAGACGGTCAGAGCATACTGACCGGAACGTCGCGTTTTTACCTCTGGTTCTTTTCAGAACCATTCTCTTAGTTGAGAAATTATTCGCACATGGTGTTTCCGCAAACCTTTCATTATTTGTTTAATAGAATTATTAAAAAAAACTTATAAAGTGTGTATACCATAAGTAAAAAGTGTGAACAATGCATTCAATGCCAATACAATGTATGTAGTAAATAGCCATTACATATGTTTTACTTGTCCATGTAACTTTCTGACCCATGTAAATTTCTAACCTCATTACATTGTATATTTGTTTTGGTAACCAATACAACAAAGCATGGTGTATCATTTTACACGAGGGCAACCACTGCTTAAAGATGTAGTCTATCATTTGTAATTTGTGCATTTTGTTCGTTTGAAGCAACAAAAGTGTTCAAAATCTAATGAAGGATACTGAACAACTAACATGATGAAGTTTCTGCTCAGCTTCAGCTGTATATTCCGAGAAAAACAGCATTCTAGGATCTCAATTTCAAATCAAAAGTTGCTGAATCATGTTTTGAATTGTTTTGAATTGTAGCTATACGCGATGTCGCGCACTGATCCGACGAATTATAGCAACCGCGCGCGCCTGTGCGTAGTGCCAATGCTTGCGCGCACTGCGCCGAATAACAAAACGAACTACTAATTTAAAATTTTCATACGGTGCGTCTTAAGACGCACCATTGGAAAGACCTTCTTTCGTTGATTACTTCAAAATGATAGCTTGCCAGAAAGATTAATTTCACAGGGAGTTTAGTCCACTTACTATCTTTCAACCAAGTATGTTTTTCAACAATAATACGCCAGTTACTTTTTCGGATGGCTGCAAATGATGGACTATAGCTTTAAAGGTTGATTCTTAAAATTTTCTTTACAAAATTATTGATTGAATGCCAGAATAAAAATATAGGTTCTTATAGGTTATATCTAACAATTTAAAAATAAAATACATGTAAGGCTCCCAATTTGAAATATAGGTTTGTACCGATATGTAGGTTTGATAGGTTTGAAAGGTTTTTCTGTGAGGCCTGTTATTTGCATATTTGCATTAGGTTCATTTGCATAGTCAAAAACCGTTGATATTATAATTTGGTGCAGGATGGACTGGTGCTTCTACACGACAGCGAGCCTATGCTTGGTTCTGGAAGGTGTTTAGGGTACTGGACTTGAACATAAGTCATAGACATGCATAGTGTTGCTTCTATAAAATGTGTCATAACAAAAAATAGTCAGTCTCTGGTCAGACCAAAGTTCCGGAATCGATGCGGCGATGCAGGATTTTTTTGGGGGGGGGCTTTTTTTTTCAAGCTTGCATTGTACAGACAAGGTGAGTACTGTTTTGCTTTTTTTGTGTCATCATATACCTTGGTGCACTCCATCATTTCAAGCTGCCCAAGAAAATCTGAGACGGTGCGGCAATAGAGGGCGCGCGCTGTTGTAACGAGCACGGCAAATTTGAAAAAAAATTGACGAGCATGATCAAAATCGACGAGCCCGCTGACCGGAGACCGACTATATTTTTTTTGGCCTTAGTCGAGTAAAACCAATAAATAAAGTTTATATAAATACAATAATGTCACCGAGATAGTGAGTACATAAAATTTACTCACTGACTGGCCATCACGTACAAAATGAAAACGTAGTGCCCACTTTTCAAGAAAACAGTTATATTAAAGGAACAAATGGCAATGACATTTTTTTGCATTTGCCTGGAGAAAAGTGTAGAATTTTAATTATTTAAAAGCTGATGCTATCAGCTGGAGACAGAGGTCCGGAGCAATTACTTTGTATTCATAAATACCTCAGACAGTTTAGCCATTCCTATTGGTCGAGAGCCCGTCACGTGGCCGGTATTAAACGGATGATAAAGACATGGCTAGCTGGTCTTAAACACTTTTCCAGTGTCACAATAAAATATGGACTCCTAAAAATCCAGTGCCTCTTATCGTTTCATTGGTTGAACGTCCACAATCCTCACGTAGGCATGCGCAACACTACCAGGGAGTTAGAATTTTATAGTTCTAAATTCAAAACGCAACGCGCCAGGTGCGTTCTGCGCGACATCGCGTAGAACATGATACGCGCGCGTCAATCTCCATAAAAGGGTTGTTTTCATCTTACTCGCCAGCTGAACACTCCATTATTTTGCAGGAGGGATGTTTCAAAAAGCATAAAGTGAATTTGTTGAACAAAATCGGGATGTTTTGAACGAATTATATGATTTTTTTTTTACCGAAAAGGTATTTATGAATGGGAATAAATATGTACTCCGTCGGTATTTATCACTCTGTTTAATACCACTTAGAGTCTGGGTGCTGATAATTACCCTCGCCTCCGGCTCGGGTAATTATCAGCACCCAGACTCTAAGTGGTATTAAACAGAGTGATAAAAACCTCCGGAGCACACATTTATTCCCTTACTAATATTTATGGGCAGTTGATTTTTATGCACGATTAATCATTTTAAATATGCCATTCTATTAAAAATTTGAATTATTCTTACATATCTTTTTCTGTGCGACATCACCTGTGTTGCCTCTAATGAACAACTGGCCGACGTTTTCCAGAGAAAGCGGAAAAGGAGTGACAGACTGACAGACATCAGACAGACAGACAGACACCGTAGGATCTTTTAATATAGGATGTCCACTTACCTTGAAGTTTGGAACAAAGCGAGCGCACTCCTGCTGCCAGTTGTGAAGCGTTGAGGCCGGGGCAACAATCAGAAAGGGACCCCAAATTCCTTGGCTCTGTCACAAAGAAAAGTGTACAATGGCTTCCAAACAATTTCAAACTCTACCCCTAACAGACCTGAATCCTCCAATTTTAATATGATTTTGCACACCCCCTAGGGAGTTAGGGCTACACTCCAAACCTAATTGGTCCTCCAGGCCCCTCGTATCATCCAAAATCAACCAGGCGGTTTTGGAGGATTTTGGAGGATTGAGGCTGTATGCCATTTTTATGCCAGTTGACTTTGGAGGATGCATTGTGTCAAGGTTTTCAGTTGTATCTTTTTGTTGTTTATGCTCAGCCATGCATAAACTGTGACTAAATATACAGTGAAACGCCGCTGTAACGTACAACGAACATTTGGCGATAACGAACATTCTCTTTGGCTCCCGAAATTGTAAATTCTATTATAATTATGCACAATCACTATAACGATCGAACAGTTTTTTGTGGACCCCATCGTGTTCGTTATAGTCACCCACACTGCTTCTGGATATCATTTGCAATTCCTCATTGTATTACAATGATTGTTGGAGGATTGAGACAGTGGTCACCCCTCCAATGAACAAATGCAAGAAATAAGCCACACAAAAAATTCTGCTTCCGATTACATGGCATTTGAAAATAGGGTAGGTAGGTAGGGGGAAAAAAGGTTTGTGTACGATCATATATTTATATATATTTTTGGGCCCAAGGATGATTTGGGAGGATTGAGGCTGAATCCAGTTTTTACATGGTGGCAATTAGGGGATTTTGAAGGTTTGAGGATGGATCCTAACCAAAAGGGCTGAGGCGGTTAGGGTTAAAGGAGCATTGTCGTCTGGATTGTGCCATATTATAAAACTACAACCATTTCATTTGCCATGAAATGCACACATGTTGGTCCTCAAATTTTGAGTCGTTAGAGTGCAATTGTGCTGTCTCAGTTGTGTGACTTGATTTCCAATGGTGAATTGGTGAGCCAGTCGGATGGTGACAGGGTGTGGCTCATTGTTCAATGGCGTTATTCATTGCAGGAAGTACAAATAGGCATGGCAAATTGTGGTAGCCGCATCAGAGGCTAGGGTTATGGCTAGGACTTGGATTGGGTCAGGGTCAAGACTTGCGTTAGAGTTAGGGCTAGGGCTTGGATTAGCGCTAGGGCTTGGGTTAAGGCACTGATCTCTATATAAAGACTGGATAGCGGATAAAGAGCCGCACAATGAATGAATTTGACGCCATATTGGTGAGACCGGTGAGACCGGCTGGTGATCTACAAAGGACAAGTTGCCGTCTTTATAGACAGCATGATTTCTTTTGTAACATCGCGCTTCACTTAACTTATATTTTGACCACCACCACTGACCAAGGTTTGCAATTTTTCTAACGACGTGATTTACTTTTTTAATGCCGCAGTTCACTTTTTCGGCGTTTTGGAAATAATAATCACTACGGAAATGAGTCCTTTTTAGAACATCATAATATGTGTACATGACCAAAATGCGCGTCAACTTTTGATACAACGCGCGCTGGATATACGCGCAGAATGTTCGTATTATACGTGGCCATCTTCGTGAGACCGGGGGCGAATTGGTCAATATGCAAAGTCTACTGTGTGACTGGATATCCGCTATCCAGTCTTTATATAGAGATCAGTGGGTTAAGGCCAAGAATTGGGTAAAACTTAGGGCTTGGGCTGGGGTAAGGGCTACAGCTCGGGCTGGCGCTAGCGCTACTTTTTTCGAGTCGCAACCCCCAAACCTACCTCAGCTAGATGTGCCAAGAAGCCGATGCTCTGCACCGTCTTGCCAAGCCCCATCTCATCAGCCAGGATGCCATTGATGCTGCAGTCGTACAGGTTAGCTAGCCAGTTCATCCCTCTCAGCTGATAACTCTTCAGCTGGCCCCTGAACATGGACGGCTGGGGACGCTCAGACTCCGACAGCATCGCCGGGTTGCTCAGACTGAACTCTTTGTCAACTGCGGACCAACAAGAGGAGAGAATGGGACTTTATTACGCCTCATACATATTTAAGAGCCAAACACACTTCTTTAAAGGCAATATACAACATTTGCTTTTGCTGTATTTTTCAGAAATGGATGGATTTTGGGGGTTTGTATTTTATAGCATATATTGTTACACTGACTTGCGTGAAGCTTTGTGTTCGTAGATGCTGAGAAAAAAAAGAAAAGCAATCGTGTACCAGTAGTCTGGTTCCCTGACCCCACGTCGGGGAATTGTAAGGTCAGGGAACCAGTTTAGCTGGCTTGTACCCGTTCATAGATGTGTAATCGATTGTGAACAAATATGGTAAAATGGGGCAGTATTTGAAAAAAAAAAACAGTTATTTCCAACACCGGTTGGCCGACTAGGATGCTTTAGACTGTCATTCACTAACAGTATAAAGGGTTTTTGTTTTGATGTTGGCAAATGTTGTACATTCTCTTCATATTTGTCAAAGTTCCAACTAGCCGGGGAAGCAAAAGTTTCTAACTCCTGGACACACAACAGGCATATTAACTACCAGTCAGTCAGCAGGTAAGGGGCTGTCCATTAAGTACGTACACACGAAATGCTGACTTTTTAGAACCCCCTCTATGCATGGCATTCACATGGTTCAACATCCCCCCCCCTCCCTTCCCGCACACATACGCATTCCGGTGTACAATGTTCAAGTTCTGTATATTCACCTTCATCACCTTGGGAGTACAAAACAGCCTGGCATAAAGCAATGATTGTTACCCCCCAAAATTTCAAGTTTGCCCCTTACATGCTTGCTGAGATGGGGTAGTTTCTGGCTTGGGATCGTCTCCATCAAAGACTTGCTGTCTCTCCTGGTGGGTGGTGTAGGCCAACGACACATTGGACAGAGCCTGCTGCTTCATAAAGTCACAATCTGCGGAGATCAAAATAGAACGGATACATCCTCTAATTTTCTATTGGCCTTATCGTGAAACGAAATCACAATAGTGGGGCAGATAGGGAAATATTTGGGGGAATTGTGCCTTTGAATGATACAAGCATGGCATTTGGCACACAGTCAGAGTATGCCTTAAGAAAGATATTTGGCTATAGGGCCATCGCAGATTTATAGGTAGAGTAACAAGCAATTTTCAAAAATTTCAAAATGGCTGCCATTGCTTGTTATTCTACTTGTATTTTTTCAAAGGACAAATCTGTGATGGCCCTATGGGCTCCGTGCGCCGACCAAAGAGGGCACCCTTTTACATAGCAACGACGTCCCATGGGCGGGACATTTCGCTGGTTGACGCACACCGTTCCTTGTGTGTGACGCACGTACACCAGGGGCCGCGCAGTTGCAGTCAGGCAAGATGGCGTCGGTCGGTCACCCCCAACTGTACTCTCTTTGCCGGTGAGGGGGTACTTGTGAACGGAGCGGATTGCCAAATATGTTTCTCATTTACATACTCGACTGTGTGCCAAGTTCCATGCTTGTATCATAAAAGGCAAAATCCCATCACCTATGGTTGAGGTTGCATCCTTGGGAGTTAGGGTTAATGTTCACAAACTCATAGCGTCTCTGCACGAACATCAGGCGTCATCAGCAGTGCATTCTACCGTCTTTCCCAGTGGTCTTCCCCCAACTCTCCCTTTGTAACTATTGAGTGGCTACTTTTGCAAGGAGTCCATAGTATTCCTGGCAAGGTATTCTGACTTCTACTCATACTCATAGCAAAGCACTTGATATCATACTCATGGAACTGCACTGAACTAAAACTGAGGAGACTCTTTTTACCATAGTCATCTTCTTCCACATCCACCAGCACCCCTCCCTGGATGGTGAGCTGACGTCTAGGGGTGTGGTCCTCCAAGCGGCTCAGGATCTGTTCCTTCTGCTCTTCCCCCTCCCCGGTCAGCTTGCGGCTCATGAAGTGGGCGTACAGCTCCGTCTGGGTGATCAAGAAGTTGAGTTTGCGCTGTTGTCTTCTTGCCTGTAGAACAGACAAGTTAAAAAAAAGAAAGTAAAGTCTGTCACAAGCCAATGTGGCGCATCAGTCCGGCATTTATGTCCGGTTTCAGTGGCATGAAATGCCTAAAACTATTTCTATTCCCCCTGGATGGGATGCTAGTCCATCGCAGATTATTCCCCAGCTAATGCTGGTACCCATGTATACTCCTGGGTGGAGAGGGGTGAGTCAGGGTGGAGTGGTTTGCCCAAGGACACAATATATGGCCAGCAACTGGATTTGATCTTACCCTCTGATCATGAGTCACCAACCCTAACCACTAGACCACACTCCCCCAACCAGACAAGTAGATTACGGAAACAGTTTAACAAAGCTTTTTCAGTCACATGTACTTGTGATTGTGGAATTCATTAAAATCATTAAAAGTCATTAAAATTTAAAGCAAATGAATTTCCAGGTCCAAATAAAAAAGACAAGAAAGGCTTTGCAAAAGATCAGGCAGTGATCACAAAATGCCTCAACAGCAAACAAGACAACTCTATGATTGAGCCTTATAATGATTGGGCACAATCATATCTTGCATGAGTATACTTTTCAAAAGGTTAAAACAGGTGAAACATCAACAAGTCTGCGGGCACACAAAGTATTAATGATTCAAAGGCAGGGATGTAGTCGAGTCCATCACAAGTCCAGTCACAAGTCCAGTCACAAGTCCAGTCGCAAGTCCAGTCACAAGTCCAGTCACAAGTCCAGTCGCAAGTCCAGTCGCAAGTCCAGTCACAAGTCCAGTCACAAGTCCAGTCACAAGTCCAGTCACAAGTCCAGTCACAAGTCCAGTCACAAGTCCAGTCACAAGTCCAGTCACACGTCCAGTCACAAGTCCAGTCACAAGTAATTCACGAATCCAGTCACACGAAACAATGGATGAACAATAACAAAGGAATGCCCGTGTCAAAGCTCATTTGAGTAGCTTGAGATTTGAATTGGGACTGGAGGACTTGTGATGGACTGGACTACATCCCTGCTCAAACGAAAGGTGGTTCAGATACCCACTACACATTCAATACAAGTAACTCTTCAATGCTCGAAATGTGACTCAGAGACAAATGACCCAAGACTCAAACCAAGTGGATTGAAAATCTGCCGTAACCCAGAGGTGCTGAGCAAAAATATTTCCATGAGAAGTACACTGAGCCTATGTTTGAAATTATGACCAAACCCATTTCGTGTCCCCTCCAGAAATTAAAGGTAATATACGTTTGTTTGGGTTTTTTTCAATTAAAAATTTGTAATTTTCAAAAAAAAATGGATGTTTGACTCGAAGATTTTGTTCGACTGACCTGTTTTAAAGTGTGTTTAAAATTGGGGGCAGTCTTTGAAAAACAACATTTTTTCAAATGATGGTTCGGCCAAACCATCATTGAAAAATGATACAAAATTCTTCTTTTCTTTCTTTTCTTGACTGATTTCACAGGATCCTTGAGACTATTATTTACTTACAGTCAAGGAAGGGATTTTATAACAATTGGGTAGTTTTGTTTTTTAATGTTTGCAAATGTTGTACATTACCTTTAAAAGCCCCTCCCACCCTCCACAGCCCCCTGCAAACTGTACCCTAGTCACACCACCACTGCTACCCACCTCTCTCATCTCATCATCCAGTCTTCGCTGTTCCTGCGCCTCCTTCTCCGCCTTCTTACGATGCTCCTTCTGCACCTTGTCATAGTGGCGCCAGTAGGCCGTCATCTCCCGCGTCATGCGGCGGGCTCGGTGGGGGGTTTCTTTGCAGACTCGCTGCGAGGCGATGGCCTGGCGTCGCTGCTCCTTCTGGCAGGCCTGGGCCAGCTTGCGGGCATTGGTCAGGATGTTGTTGTGGACCGACGTCCGATGCTTCTGTGCCTGAGATGGAGAGACATGTACTTAACATATTAAAGGGCCAAATGCAATTCTTGAAAATGCACCTTTGTTCAGAAGTCTCCCCCAGTTGTAAGTCGTGGTTTTTGTTTGAAACAAGAGAGCCTACAGCACACACATAAAAACCCATATATAGCTAAAAACACCTACTTCAAACTGTCATGCTGAACAAGATTATTCTTATATAAGATTTTAGGCTTTGCATGGTGGAGTATCGGTATCGTTTCGGTTTGCGGTAACACCATGTGGTAATAACTACTGCTTAGAAGATATTTAGTTCTAAAAAGAACTTGTCCTGCTTATTATCAACTTTCGCTAAGTATTTTTTGTTCTGATAAGAACAGTCTCCTGATGATGACTAGAGCAGCTAGTCGAAACGTTGAGACCAAAGACAAGTTCTTTTAGAACTTAAAGCAGGACTGTTCTTATCAGAACTAAAACTACTTAGCGAAAGTTGATAATAAGCAGGACAAGTTCTTTTCAGAACTAAATATCTACTGAGCAGTAGTTATTACCACATGGTGTTACCGCAAACCGAAACGATATGATTATTCTTAGTTAGAACCAAGTTTTACAGTCGAAACACACTTATGCTGTTGCAGTTATTGTCACTACTCCAGAATCTGCTCAATTAAAAAATTAGAACATGCAGTTTGCCTGTCTGAAACTAAATTCCACTCGGGTCAACCCATAGAGCTATACTGAATTACTAGAGCACTAACTCCTCAGTCTTACATGTGGAGATACTTTGAAGCCGTCCTGCGCGCACAAATTTTGATTTCATGTGCATGTTTGTAAAACACAATGAAATTAGATGGAGTGAATTTTGAAAGTGTACTCTAAATGCAATGCGCAAGTAATGCAATGCGCAAGTACAACATACGCAAACAACCTAAGTGCGTTATGACAGTTAAAAGGTCACGGCAAATATCATCCACAGCGGATACGCGCGCGCACACGTTTGCGTTTGCGCAGAGCAAAAAAGATCATTTACTGATTGCACGTTTCAATTTAAAGCGTAACATCTTCGATAACGCAACTATATAGAATACAAACACAGATATGCAAATAGCTGTACAAAAGCCGTACAAAATTTCGAGTTTTCATTAGGTTTGTGCACAAACATGGATGCGCCCAGCAGGCATCACTTTGTACATCAAGACAGCGCTCTAGTAATTTGATATAGCTCTACGAGTCGACTTGAGTCTCTCTAAATCCAACATGTTTCAGCTGGTCCCTGGAAGGCCAGTCTTCAGAGGGTGTCAAATGATGTTCTTCAGGACCAAAGATGTTGGGATCCCTCCTACCTTGGGAATATCTTTCCTGATGATTGCGTGCCAGACCCGACGTCGTCTGGCCTCCACATCCTTGATGGCCATCAGCTTCTTGTGGTTCAGAGCATCTTGGAAGTGAGCGACGGATGTAGCCACGCTGACCAGGGCAGGCGGTGTTGCCCGCACCTAGGATAGAGAGAGAGGGAGAGTTCAAGCACAAATATTCCACTGAGCGTTACGAATGTTTGCAAATGGTGCCCCTTAACTTCAAGAATCTTGAATTGTGTGATCTTATCAGCAAGAAACTTGAAGTGTATGGTCTTATCAGCGAACACAAACAAATGATGGAAGTGATGTAAGCATTCTCTGCTCTTATTACCTGGACGTCTTGTTTCTCCTTGGTCTCCACTTTCTTTTTGGGTTTGGGAGTCACCTTCTTCAATTTCTCTGCGGCAAAAAAAAATATATAAAAAAATCAAATTCCACAAGTGTACGTGATTTACAAGCTGCATCATCAAGTTTCCAAATAGAAGCCGTGTCAGCGAAAAAAAAAAAATTAACAATTATTATCATAGATTTATTGGCATTGGGACAGTGGCGTAACTACAAGTGGGCACGGGGGGGGGGGCAAGATTCAAAATCTTGAATTGAACAAAAATATGTATCATTTGCCTTTAATGCCCCCTTGAAAAATGGATGCATCCCCAGTTGCCCCCCCCCCCTAAGTTTAACACTAGTTACGCCACTGCAATGGAATCATGCTAACAGTGAAATACCACTTCCTGATCAAGTCTAGCAATGAAACAAACAATTTCAAGGACTCAACATGATTAACCATGGCTGTCCAGGACCCAAACAGAAAGTGATAAAAAAAAAAAAATACATGTACAGCCAAAATGCAAAACAAAGAGGAAAGCAAGAAAGGTTGATTCTGGATCAAATTCATCATACTCATAAACACGAGGCATAATAGAGCTAAAATAAAACTATGAAAGCAGCAACTGAGAGATAACACAGTGAGGACTGTGATAAGATGTGAAATCATGCAATGTACCACCACTCCATGCTACCGGCTCCCAACACTGAGAACAGACGACCTCAAACCTGATGGACCAAAAGCACAACTTGTTCCCTTTTTGCTAGCTTGACCCAAAAGGGTCAGCTTACTGTCCTCTAAGTCGCTGACTACTGAGTCGCTGAGAAAAAAATAATGTCCTAAACTAGGCAAGCCCATGGACTCTGTACACGTACAATAAACGTTGTGTGCCAAGGAAAAGGGCGCTAGCAGCGCAGGCAGGTAAACAAAATAAATGTTTGGAGATCATCAAGTTAAAGGTTTGGTGCTCCCGTTTCTAAAATTAAAAATCACACAAGGCTGAAATTTCGACTCATGAAATTTGTTACTAATTGGAATAATATTGTGCATTTTTATTTTGAAATATTACTCAGTTTGAAGTTATTTACATGAAGTTATTTACATTTTTATGCTAACAACCTTTTACTGGGAACTCCCTCTGCCTTAAACGTGCGCTTAAGCGGCATGTAAAAGCATAACGTCTTTTTTATCAGGGAAGATAATGAAAAACCTCCTGCCCTTTTCATTCCATTAATTACGTCAGAATGACGCAGCCCCTTGAGGCAAAATGTGTATCAAATGACAGATACTTCCATGCTCTATGGATTACCCAAAAAATATGAATATGACCTTTTGACCCATTTTTCGTCCTAACGACTTTCTTCCAGGCACCTGCCGAATTGATGATGCTTTTTAACCAAAGTTCCATTAGGGAAAAATTGCATGCGCCCCATTTCGAAAACACTTTGCCAATTAAAAGCTACAAACAACTACCTAGTATTTTCAAGGAGTTATTTAATAGTTCCTTATATAATCAATGCATCTTCTCTTCGTCGGATGAACAATCCTTCTGGTGACAGAATCTGAGTTTTAAATTTAAGTCTTTTTCGTCTCCAACTTTCACCTCCTTCACGAAAGGTTGAGACAATCTGACTGAATATTTCTGACATTTTGAGATCAATTTGTTGCTTCTCTGATGATCACAAAATAGTACCTCCATTTTGAATGTACAGGTGTTTAATTTCTGCTGGCATAACATTTCTTGCCCATTCAGTATGTAAACCAAAAATGTCTACAGTGAGAAAATAGACCTATAACCAAAACTGTGCTAATGGCATGCCAGTTTACAGTATTCACAATTGTGATGCGATCAGGCTAAATGAGTCGTTTGTCAGGATTTTTCATTTGGAGATTCAGGCCAAAATAGGACCACTTCATCACATCACTTCATCACATCTCTTGGTGTTCCGACTTCCATAATTTTTGAACTAAAGATGGTATCAGTATGTGGTATTCACAGCAGTAATGCTGAGATTGTGCTCTTTTCAAATCTGTAAAAAAAAAAAAATGACCAGGGTCGACAAACGACTCATTTAGCTTGATCGCAACACAATTACTTACACAGAACTTACTGCATCCGCAACCAAATTAAAATCAAGCAAAACAAAATCAACATGCATTTAAGGCCCCCTATCCAAATGAAAAAAAAGAAGTGCTTAAATGTATCAGTTAACACCCAATTAGTATCTTTCACTTGTAATTTTAAGTTTCTCTTTGCAAAAAAAAATAATAAATCAGCACAATTTCATTCCTGGTACAGTCTGGTTTCATGACAGCATCAGCGTTATGCAACAAGCAGGTGAAGCTTGTGTGCAAGCATGGCCCTTGTTTTACCAGAGGGGGGAAATGGACACATACCTGGTTCTGGCTGTTCCTCTGGCATTATTGGGACACTTTGTGAAGGTGAAACTGGGACAATGGGAAAAGATCGGCAGTTTGGTTTACGAGACGACATTTCAGGCTGTTACAACCCTCAACCATGCATAAAATATTAGGAGTCTGATGAATTAAGGTTACTTGTAAAACCTATTATCAATCTTAAATAGCAACCTTTCTCCACTTTTAGTGACCTACCCTGTCAAATTCACGCAAATACACTCAAAACTGATCACTTAACCAATTGAAACATGGACTCCTAAATTTGACTTTATCAATTTTCCCTTTAAACATAATTTTTCTTTATCCTTCAATGAAAAGCTACAAATTTATATTTATCAAATTGTTCTTGCTAAGCTCAAATTTGCAGGGAGCCAGCCACAAGCATTATGCATCGCATGACATTTTGACTGGTAAACATTTGTGTAATACGCTAAGCAGCTTCCATGAAGTCGGCCCCTGTCATCTCTGGCAGCCTCTCACCTTTCTCTTTCTTGAGTTGCTTCTCCTTGGGACCCAAGACCAGCTTCTTATGGTCCAGGAAGTTGTCGTAGCTGGACAAGAGCCCGGTGCTGTAGTACTGATACTGCTGCAGCTGGTGGTGGTAGGATCAGAAAGAAGTAAATTAAAACCCTATCCACCTAGGCCCTTTTGGCTAGGAACCATCCTCAATCCTTCAAAATCCTCCAATTGCCACCATGTAACAATTGGATACAGCCTCAATCCTCCAAAATCGTCTGTTATTTCTTGAATTTATTCAGTGGAGGGGTGACCACTGTCTCAATCCTTCAAAATCATCCAATAATCACTGTTTAATATGTGATGCGATCAAGCTACATGAGTCGTTTGTCAGGAATTTTCATTTGGAGATACAGGCCAAAATAGGGCCACTTCATCACATCACTTCATCACATTTCTTGGTGTTCCGACTTCCATAATTTTTGAACTAAAGATGGTATCAGGATGCGGTTTTCACAGCAGTAATGCTGAGATTGTGCTCTTTTCAAATCTGTAATAAACCAAATTTTGACCGGGGTCGACAAACGACTCATTTAGCTTGATCGCATCACATATGTTGAAGCAGTGCCAATGATATCCAGGAGCAGTGCGGATGATATCAAGTATAAATGTAGGCCTTAATTATTCATGGCTTGAACATAAACAATGCAGGGTACAACCTATGACCTTGATACAATGCATCCTCCGAAATCACCTTTTGGCCATTCAGCCTCAGTCCTCCAAAACCACCTGTTTGAATTTGGAGGATTGAGGGTTAGGGTTTTAATGCAATCACATCCTAAGAGCTGGACCAAATTTCATGGAATTGGTAAGCAAAATATTTTGTTAAGCGAATTTAAATATGTGCTAAGCAAAAATAAGCAGAGAACCATTCACACATAATACATATTGCATTATATTCTAGCTGGTAACCACTTTTTTTAGGTTCAGCAAATATGTTTCTGTGCTTACAAGCCACCACATGCCCATCGTAAACTTGTCAATAACAAGTCCTGTTGAAATCGGCCACATGTCAAATCACAAGTCAGGTCACCAGTAACAGAGGATAACAATGACAACAGGATGCGTCTGTCACAGATCGACATGAGAATAGATAGACTTGTGATTTGACTAGTGATTTGACTGGTGATTTGACTGGTGATTTGACTGGTGATTTGACTGGTGATTTGGCTTGTGATGGGACTTGTGATTTGATATGTGATTTGACTTGTGATTTAATATGTGATTTGACTTGTGATTTGACTTGTGGTTTGACTTGTGGTTTGACTTGTGGTTTGACTTGTGATTTGACTTGCGATTTGACTTGCGATTTGACTTGTGATCTGACTTGTGATCTGACTTGTGATTTGACTTGTGGTTTGATTTGTGATTTGACTTGTGATTTGACACGTGATTTGACTTGTGATTTGACTTGTGATATGACTTGTGATTTGACTTGTGATCTGACTTGTGATTTGATTTATGATCTGACTTGTGAGCTGATTTGTGATCTGACTCATGATTTGACTTGTGATTTGACTTGTGATTTGACTCGTCATGGACTTGTCTAATACTCTGGCTTGCATCAAGGATGACTTGGACAGAGCCAGGAATATGTCCTCACCTCCCCCTCGGTATAGAACTTGCTTTGGCACTGTCGTTTGTAGCGATGGAGCTGTATCATCTCCTTCAGCTCCTCAGCTGTCAACGGTTTGTCCTCCTCCTCTTCTTCAGCAGCTGAGGAATCGGACGAGTCACTCAGGAGGATGTTCTAGATGAGGACAGTCGGTCAAAGATTAAACAGGGACAATCGGAGATAATGCAAGACCGACCCTCAATATTCAGAGGGGAGACATTCACAATGCAATCCACGACCATGACCTTTTTTCCCTGAGCCTGAATGGCCATCCTCATGTTCTCTGACTGACTGAGTCACTGACTGATTGACTGACTCCCCGATTGACCGAGTTACTGAGTATAAATAATGTGCTATGCTTTCAAACTTTCGGGTCAAGCTAAATTAGACAAGCTTGTTTTTGTCGCTTTAGATCTTCGTTCTGGGGGCGGTAATCAGGAGTCAAACCAATACATTCCATAGACTGTATGAAGCTCAAACAACTTATGTACACATAAAAACCAACTCTGCCTACCAGCCAAGCACGCTTTCACTGTACACTCATAGAGGCCCCCTCCAATGGAGAAAGCATTGTGCCAGCTATTGTTCAAATAGTCCATCACGGGACATTTGCTTTGTACAATGAAGAGGGCCTCCGTGAATGAGCAGTGCTTCTTGTTGATAAAAAAAAAAAATTGCTGTCATCAAAGCATTACATCCGTTTTGCCAACAAAATTTGATAGCATGAATGATTTGCAACAGAACTTTAAACCCCCATGAATGACAGTCTAAAGCATCCTGTAAAATCATGGCACCTGGTGTGCTGTCATTTTCAAGAAACAAGGTACTTTTGTATCAATTTCCAACGCTGGTCGGCCGACCAGCTTCGGAAAAACCTGACTTCTTTTTTAAGCTACTGCCTCCACTTTACCAAATGTATTCAGTCCACATTTTGTTTGCAATTGGTTACACATCTGTGAACGGGTGCAAGCCAGCTAGACTGGTTCCCTGACCTTACAATTCCCCAATGTCTTTAAATTGCTCTGTTTCATCTTGAGTGGGATCAGGAAACTAGACAACAAGAGCATGATTGTTTTTAGTGTTTTTTCCAGCATCTACGAACACAAAACTTCAAACAAGTCAGTGCAACAATATTTGCTATAAAATACCTACCCCCCCCAAAAAAAATTTCATCCATTTCTGAAAATTACAGCAAAAGCAAATGTTGTAAATTCCCTTTAAGTACTTTCTGTAAGCTAAGCAAATTTTTATTTTCTTAGCAACTCCAATAAATTGCCACTGAAAAATGCAGTGAGCAGATAAGCAGAAGATTAGGTATGGAATGCGCTTGGATAACGCATAAGTATGCCTCCAAAAACAATCCACTGTGACTTACTTTTAACCAACGTCTGCTCTTCTTCACTTTACACAAATTGTACAAGCGTCTGCGGTCTGCCTTCCTCTCTGTGAAACACAAAAGAACTTTAATTTCATCCCTGGAAAGTAAGGGGGAGGGGGAGGTGGGGGGGGGGGGGGCGGTGGGGGAGGGAGGCGTGGAGTGAGGAATGGAAAAACAGTGAAATTCTCATTCAAGAACTTCAACAAATCTTGAAGAAAACGTCACATCTAGTTCCGCAATTTTAACAATGATCAAAATGATCTTGGAAAACCAATGATCTTGGAAAACCACCAAATGCTTCCAATGAAGTTTTCAATTACACACTTAAAGCCATTTAGAAATATTTACAATTACCCGGAGAAGAAACCATGCTCGAAGTTAAGTTAGGCTGGTATCAAATACCCTGTGAAATAATTCAGTTTGAAATGGTATGACTCGGAAGTAAAGAATCATGGAAGATGGTTTTAAGAAGGGTGCTTGCTGGCACACTATTTTACACACGTGCCAGTTATGAGACTCAAGAAATTGTGCATAGGTTTTCCCAGGTTAGTTTTTGTGCCCCCTACTTACAGATTTGAGCAGTTTCATAGCTTCAAATGAAAACAAGTCAGGTGTGTTTACAAACACAAATACCCCGCAACCGTGACTGTTCCCATGACATAACACCACTCTTTTAACATCAACTTACATTTACCTTGTTCACATGGAATGTTCATTGACAGCATTAGTGTCTTCTGTAGTTTTTATATGAATTAATCCCTAATCCCTATGATCTCAGAATAAATACAAGATTTTTATTGTTTTAGCCACTGTGACCTTGACCCTTGACCTTTCGACCCCCAATGCGATAGGCCTATTTGGATTACCAAGAACGATCCACAAACCAAATTTGAAGTTCACATGTAAAGTATTTCTCAAGTTATCGCGCTGACAAAAATTCTTTTGTTTTAGCCACTGTGACCTTGACCCTTGACCTTTTGGCCCCAAATGCAATAGGCTTCTTAGGTTTGCCAAGGACAATCCACAAACCAAATTTGAAGTTCATATGTAAAGTATTTCTCAAGTTATCGCTCTGACAAAATTTCTTTTGTTTTAGTCACTGTGACCTTGACCCTTGACCTTTAGGATTACCAAGAACAATACACAAACCAAATTTGAAGTTCATATGTAAAGTATTTCTCAAGTTATCGCACTGACAAAATTTCTTTTGTTTTAGTCACTGTGACCTTGACCCTTGACCTTTCGGCCCAAAATGAAAAAGGGTTCTTAGGATTACCAAGAACAATACACAAACCAAATTTGAAGTTCATATATGTTAAGTATTTCTCAAGTTATCGCGCTGACAAAATTTCTTTTGTTTTAGTCACTGTGACCTTGACCCTTGACCTTTTGTTCCCAAATGCAAAAGGGTTCTTAGGATTACAAAGAACAATTCACAAACCAAATTTGAAGTTCATATGTTAAGTATTTCTCAAGTTATCGCGCTGACAAGATTTGTCCGGACACACACACACACCCACACAGACTTGTTCCACATACCTAGTGTGGACTTTCCTTTCTTTTCGTGTAGTTAAGGAACACCAGTGGAAAAACTCATTTTTCTCAAACTGTGAAAACTCTTACAACCCAATTTTTTTCAATGATTCCCTTTAGTGTTTCTCTTCATTCTGCTACAGATAAACCTAACCCAAAAATGCCTCTAAACCTGTTTTCCAGAAATGGGGAAACACTGTGTGGACGTGGGCAAGTCCACACTTCGTCGCTGCTACCTACATTATGTGGACGTCTTTTGTTCGGAAGTCCACACTGCGTATGTAAGACAAGCTCACACCCACCCACGGAAGGACAAGGCGGAAACAGTATGCCCCTTCGGTTTAGTTCGCTGCCAAGCCGTGAGCAAGCAAGATGCTGGCCTGATGACCACACCCTACTGCCTGCTGGGCCACGCCTACATGGTCACCCAGATCAAGCACCCGATACAATGCTGCATGGCCTGCTACAAGGATCCCAACTGCCGCTCCTTCAACCTGTCAGGGAAGATGTGTCATCTCAACAATGTTGAGATGACACATCTTCCCTGACAGGTTAAATGTCACCATCTCCCAGGTTGATGCTGACAAGTTTGTGACTACCAGGGAGAGCTGTGCCAACTACAGACTTGACTGATTCTGATTGAAGGTAAATTATCTCAACAGTCTGGTTCTAGGCAACATCATTTTATCAAACAGGACTATGTTTTGACAGATATGGAATCTGAAACTGTCCACACATGATCTACATGATTTAACTGAATATGACAATTACTACACTGGCCAATATACAAGTAATTCTCATTGAAATCGACTCAACTTTGTCAATGAAAACATGAACTTACTGATAACAAACTTGAAACTTAACAGTGTCTTTGCTAATCATTTAGTAATGTTTTACTCACTGATTGGTCCTATTCAAGTTAAGTGATTTTTTTCTGGTTTATAACAGTTTTGCGATTAACTTTAATCTCCAAAAATTGCCGATATTAAAGCCTTCACCAGGAAATTCCTGTGTATTGATGTTACTAACATAAAGAGTACATTAAATATCTGATTGCGTTTTGTAATTGTGACAAAGTACAGTGCCTTACTAATTATTAGCTTTTGAAAAATAAAACAATTATGTTTTTGAATGCCTGGAAACTTTATGTACACTTTGAAAAGTGATCTTGAAATATATCATTGCACGCAGTATAATATATGAGTTGGTTTAGAAGTATGAGTTGGTATTAGAGTAAAAAATTTGATAAATATTTTAAACTTATATAATATATTCTGCACTTGTGTTGTAATTGTGAAAAAAAGTAAAGTGTCTTTGAAGTTTAAAGTTGCATTCCCTGTGCTATTTTAAGTTTCACCCCGATATTTTTTTTGATGAGACATCAAACAAAAACAATCCCTGGATGTTTGGTTACTCAGTTATTTCTTTACAAAATTCAAATTATTTGTTTCCTGATGATCTTTCCACTCTTGCAGGGCAGGTTGAATCGTGCGTAAAATGCAAGCCTTTTTTTCTGAGAGTTGCACACGTCCAAAATTGGAGGAGAATAGGATGTTCTGTTAAAACATAACACTCAATTAGAACATTTGTTGCAAGAAATAAAAAATGGAATTCTCTTGAAGAGCATGGGGTATGCAACATTCAGCAATAATGCTAACTTTTCTTTAAAAAAAATTGAATTCGAATTTTTGAAAATTGTCTGCACATTTTAAACAATATCCATGTGAAATACGTTATTGCATTTGGTGTCTTGTAAATATCAAGTCAGCTTGAGTTTTAGACGAGAAATTAATTATTCTTAAACAGAGAGTTTTCTGTATACTTAAAATATAACTCTGCATCTATTTAGTAAGATGGTGGGTTTTTTGGCTGTTCACAATGTGACTTTCACTCATGGAAAGTTCTTCTATATTAATTCTTTGTGGCAGTTTTAGGGAATAGCCCCACTCAAGAAAACAAAAATCAACCAAATTCAGAATTTTGCACAGTTGCAAGACCTTGACTAGACAAAAGGAGCGCCAGTTTTTTTGAAGCGTAACTAATTGACTTTTTATTAAATTCTGCAACTCTTTACAGGAATCTCCAGTCTCTAGTTCCTGCTGTTTTGATTATCATCTTCAATATTATAAAGCTACATGTATACAAAATATAATCAACAGACCTGTTTCCATGCCAACTTTACCCAAACAGATGCAAAGCATCTTTTGCTGAAGAGAAAAATTGTGTTGACGTGGCAGTCAATCTGGGCTCCGCACAGGTATGAGACATGAAAGCATCTTCTCTACACTTTGATGAAGGAAATTGACTTTGGAGTGACAGATATTGAGTTGGATTGCTGTAAGATAGATTTGGAGTTATATCATTCTACAATCTGATAGTAATTTAATTTAGTTTCCATTACTCAATCAATTTAATCAACTTGATATAATTTACAAATAACCAACTATGTATCTGCAGGTGCAACACATTCTATTTGGAGGTTGGCTTGCTGTGATGGTCGGTGTTTTCAATGCTGATGCTACCTGTATGAGTTGCCCACAAGGATGGACATACTACAATCATTCATGCTATATCAAGTTTATTACATGTAACGACAAAATCCCTTGGATTCAGGCTTACAAGAGGTGTGAAAGTCTGAATGCTCAGCTGCTGGTTCTCAACTCCAAGGAAGAGACAGATTTTATAAGAGAAATAATGCAGCAAGCATTTCCTGGTGAGGAGTCAACTCCCAAACGGCTTTGGCTTGGCTGTAAGGAGATAGATGGGAGGCGGGTGTGCTCTGATGATAACCAACAGCAGCTTGCAATGCTCAACAATGAACAGACATGCACAGTGCTGCAGCCCTTCACTTCAAAATCTAAAGAAATTGATTGTATCAAGGACAAACGGTTTGTATGTGAGAAACAAGAGGAAAAGAGCGGTTCAGTTCACTACAAAGCTGTGAGCAAGCAAGATGCTGACCTGATGACCACACCCTACTGCCTGCTGGGCCACGCCTACATGGTCACCCAGATCAAGCACCCGATACAATGCTGCATGGCCTGCTACAAGGATCCCAACTGCCGCTCCTTCAACCTGTCAGGGAATATGTGCCATCTCAACAATGTCACCATCTCCCAGGTTGATGCTGACAAGTTTGTGACTACCCTGGAGAGCTGTGCCAACTACCAAATTGATTTGTAATCAGCAGGAAGTATAGAAGAATAAATCACGTGCACTGTTCTCTGATATATGCAATACGTTTGAGCTCAACACAACAAAAACTTGGAACTCTTTACAAGCTTTTCCTCAACAAAATCGCCAGTACCTGTATCTCTTAAACTGTACAGTACCTCAGAGTGATGTCAACAACATGGAAACTAATGCAATTCTGAATTGTGTACATTTAGTCAACTTTAGAATAACTCCTATTGATAGCTTTTTAAACATCTTCTTCTCAAAAGATTGACAATCACTGAAGAGCAAAGACTTTAACAAATGTTTTGACAGACAGTGAAGATCCAAACTTCAATGGTTTATTGTGGCTGCTGTG